CTTTGCTTTCCCCAGCCTCAACAAATGCTGTTTGACTTGCAGCATAAACGACTGGTTACACTGAATGAGAAGGGTGATCATGCCTCTTTCAACAGTGCAGAACAAACACTAGGACCTCCGCACTGGGGGAACCAAGTGTGCCCACGAAATAGGCCCCTTTCCCCCCAGCACAACTGTCTCCTGTGCTCCAAGTCGCCCTCTCTCTCCAGACCTGAATAGCCAGCCCTTCCTAATGATTCAGACCTCTCTGTATTTCCAAAGTTGGGGGCATTTTCTCACACTGTTTGCTTTATTAACTTGAGCAGGAATGCAGTGTTGAAGAACTCCAGGGAACAAAATTCCCAGTATCTTTTATGGAAATTATGTTCTGGACCTAGAAGTCTTGGTTTTCTAGGTCCAAAGAACACATGGCATTGGGTGCTTTCATAATTCTCTTTTTAAAAAAAATGTAATTGACTTTATTGGAGTGATAGTGATTAATAAAATCATATAGGTTTCAGGTGTACAATTCTGTAATATTTCATCTATATTGTATGGTTACCACCCCAATATATATTTCTCTTTTTAAAAAAAGATTTCATTTATTTACTTTTAGAGAGAGGGGAAGGGAGGAAGAAAGGGAGAGAAACATCAATGTGTGGCTGTCTCTTGCACACCCCCAACTGGCGACCTGGCCCACACCCCAGGCGTGTGCCCTGACTGGGAATCCTATTGGCAACCCTGTGCGTCTCAGGCCGGTACTCAATCCACTGAGTGACACCAGCCAGGGCCCCATAACCAGTTCTTAATAATGGATTAGGAACTTTCCCTATGTCTAAAAATCTGAAGAACTTACAAAAGAAAGGAATCTTTTCAGTTCCTTAACCCATTTTCTTTTTTTGAAATTTTGTGGTACATTGAGGTGAAAATTCCCTGGGATAAGTGAGGTCTTGGATTTTGGTCCCCGTCTGCCACTAACTGTCTGACTTCACACGAGCTATATGTACAGCAGATGGAAGGCTTTGTCACGACGGATACTAATTGGGCTATTTTGCTCACTGTGTCCAAAATGACCACAAGCCAACATTTTTTGGAGTAATGTGTTCAAGCAAAAATGCTTCCCAGTCGTAACTGTTAAAAGTGTAATGGGGAATTGGAGCAGATTTGGAATGTAACTTGCATAAAGTCTTGTGTAAACAGACCCTTCCACAGCCCTTCCCATACACATTCAGGAGCTCTCACTGAGGAGCGCTCACTGCAGGCATCAGGGTGTAAAGGTTACTGTGCTTTTGGAAAGAGAGTGAGTGGATTTGGATCTTGAGGACTCAAGAGAATTTGCCCTGGCCTGATCAGGCTCCTTCATCCCTTTGTCTCAGCAAATTACTTTCCATTTGAACATGGACACAGATGGAGTCCCATATGGCCTCTGACATTTGAGGTCTTGTAGAAATAGCCCGATTCATACTCAGATACATACATGAGTTTTGATCTTTCTGATTAAGGATTACAGAGAGCAGCGTGTTTTATTATCGCGTCTTTCATTTCTCTCACACGACCTTGCTCGTTTTTGTATTCATTCATTCCTTCTCAGCAAACATGTACCGAATAATTATTTATCGAGCACCTTCTCTGTCACAGGCCCTGTGCTGGATTCTGGGCTGCAGAGATGAATGGCACAGTTCTCATGCTCAGGGGGTTTGTGGTAAAGGAGGTAAAGAAGGACAGAAATAATTACGGTGCCGTAGACTGGTAAGCTCAGGGAGCAGGCCCACTGCAGCGGTGCTTTCTGGAGGATGCCTGTAGCTGGTTTCAGAGATCCCCTTCCATTAAATTCAAATAAAGGACCCCTAAACTAAACCCACTCATTCACTGGAATTCAAGCCAAGTTTCTGCTTAAAAATGGTACCGTGATGGATAAACAATAGCACAGAGCTGAGAGAACATCTTGTTTCAAGTACTATATATGTCATTTACGAGGTTTGGACAAGTCTCTGAACCATTCTGAATCTCATTTACTTTAAGGACCAAAGTAAACGATATAAATATAAGTTCTTTGAAAACACTATACAAATTTAAGAGGAAAAAAAAACCCCAGTTTTTAAATAAGCACGACTTTTACTTAGGGCCTATTTTTATTTCCTGAAAGAATTTTTTTTTTACCCTCAAAAGGAATTTTTTCTTAATCATATGTATAAATCATGTTGTGATATCCAAACCAATTATTCCTTTTACTTACACCTTCAGCAATGAACAACACCTGTTACTTTCCCAATTTCCCTTTTGAATATGCTAAGAAGCCAATGTGTCATGGAGGTAGAGACATAAAATAAGTCATTGGATATAAAGGTCTGAATCTGAAGTTCAGATTTGGGTGTGAAATACATGTTTTGGATTGTTAGCACAGGAAAGGGGATGACATTCACAGAGAAAAGGGCATAGACTGAGAAGAGAAGAAGGCCGGGGTCCTTGCCCAGAGGAACCCTGAGTATCTAGAGGGCAGGAAAGGAGGAGCTGGCAACAAAGAGTAGGGAGAACCAATCCAAAGCCAGTTTAGCAAGGAAAACTGGAGACTGGGATGGGTCCCCTCTCACATATGTTCTGGTGAAAGTCTGGGGGTACCGTGAGGTGTCCTTCTCTACCATCCATGAAGGCAGCACTTTGAAAATCTCAAAAACCATGTCACAGGGTCAGAAAACTCCTTTGCCATAGATTCCACCAATGAAGAGGGTAAGACAAACGGAAGGGGAAAGCCCATTTCCCATCTGGGCTCCATCCAAAGCTTCTAATTTTGGTTCAGTGATGTCTGTGTCCTAATCCCTGGAACCTGTGAATAGGTTATCTTACTTGGTGAAGGCACTTTGCAGATATGATTAAGGATTCTGAGGTGAGAAGATTATCCTGGATTATCTGGTAGGCACAAAGTAATCACAAAGGTCCTTACACGTGACAGAAGAAGCAGGAGAGTCCAAGGCAGACTCAAAGATGCTATGTTGCTTTTTTTGAAAATGGACAAAGGGTCACGAGCATGCAGGTGGCCTCTAGACGCCAGAAAAGGCAAAGGAACATTCTCTCCTGGAGTTTCCGAAAGGAACACAGCCTTCTGACCTTTAGATTTTAGATTAGTGAACTCGTTTCAGACTTCTGACCTCCAGCACTATGTGATAATAAATTTGTGTTATTTTAAAACAGTAAACTTGTGGTAATTTGTTATGGCAGTAGTGAGAAGCCAATTAAACACTTCTGATTAGGCAAATATATGAGTATATTTTCTCCAACCGACAGTCTTTTCTCTGAACCTTCTCAGAGTATGTGAATTTTAAATTGTATAGTTGAGCCCAGTGAGATTCTTGATTGGTGGAATTCCAGGCACAATGCTGGAGATGTTTTCGAAAGGGTCACAGTCATCTCAGAATTCTGTCAGAGAAGTGGGAAAGTCTAGATGCCTGCAGTCCCCGGGTTGTGGGGTCGAGGCATGTTCAGAGAGGCTCAGAGAGGCCTCCCGCTCTTCTCAGGCCTTCACGGTAACCTTTAATGGGCTTCAGAGATATCAACCACTCAGGCCTCTCCACCTCAGAGCCCATGTCCCACCCATTATGATCTCCATGGGGATGGGCCTACTGAATGACTTGGCCCCATCTCTCTTCAACAGAGCCATGTGGTTCAAGCCCTCCCATAGACCAAACTTGAGAAAAGCTGTCTTTGAACGCAGCCTGGTTCTGAGCAGTGTTTTGCAGTGAGAATACCAGATTAAAAGTCAGAATGTCTTTGCTTGATTCTTGAGTCTACTTACTAGCTAGCCCCTGCCAGAAGGGGGTCATAGAGCCTCCCTGTGCTGAGTTCCATTACCTGTAAAGCAAGATAGTATTTATTTATCTTATTAGAATTATTGTTCAGATAAAAGAAAATATGCATGTAAAGGCTGTAAGTGCCCTGCATTTTAAAGTACACTCATACTCAGCAACAAAAAGGAACAAATTACGGATAAGTACAATGAAATGGATGAAGTTCAAAGGCATTATGTTAAGTGCCAGGAGTCAAAAACACTATGCATTCTGTATGATTCCATTATGTGACATTCTGGAAAAGACAACACTAGAGGGACATAAACAACATCAGTGGTTTCCAGAGGCTGTAAGTTGGGGGACAACACTGGGACAAGGGAACAGTTTTGAGACGATGGAAATTTCTGTATGCTGATTGGTGGTTGCCCAAGTGTATGTGTCTGTCAGAACTCACAGAGATGCATGTACATCTCAAAAGGATGAATTTCACTGTAAGTTATACCTCAACAAACTTGACTTTTTAAAGATGAAAGGGGAAAAAAAGCCCTACAATATAATGTGTTGCATAAATAGCCCTTTGGGGCAGGATCTAGTGCACTGAGCACCCAATCAATAAACAGCCTGTCCAAATGTTTGGTTTCTGGGCCACGTTGTTCATATAGCATATAACAAGATTTTCTTCTAATAGGCTCATCTGCTCGGGGTTTGAAAATTTAAGTGGCAGGATACTGAACACTTCCCTTCTAAAAAGTTCAATGATTGCCTTGCCTCAAGGAACAAGGGAAACCACCAAAAGAATGATGAGGCAGGACTGGACTATCCAATAACCTAGAAACGGAGAAAACATGCTTTAGTCACCATCCCGGAAAAGCAGCTCAAGGCCATTGGAGGTCATTATGCTGATAATAGACCTTGTCTTGGTTTGGAGGCAATTTCCAGCTCTGGGTATTAGTCAGACTTCGGTAGTTCAGGATGGCCTAACAGTTTAATAAAAACACCTGTCAGAAAACACCTAAAGGCTAAGGCGTGCGAGTCTCAGCGTAGGCTGGCGCACAAGGTCAGCACCTGCCCAAGAAATCCCCCGCTACCCCGCCCCCTTCCTCCACTGCTGCCCGCAGGAGAACTCCCTTCTTATTGGCCACTTCCCGGCTGCCTCCGGCGCCCATTGGTCCGCTCTGACGCCCGCTTCTATAAAAGGCGGGCTAATTCCACCCGCGGGCTAATCCAGCTCACCCCTAGCAGCGCCACAGGTAAGTAGGGTGACCCCATCCTTTCCGGACAAGGGACCGTCGTCGCGAATTTGGGGACGCGGCGTGGGTCGGAAGCGAGATGACCCTCCAGGGAGGTAAATACCCATGGAGAACTGGGTCTGGGAAGTGGGAGTTTTACCCTAATGGGCACTCTTCTTTCCTCCTATTCCATTTGGGGGAGAAGACTATTTTTGAAGGTCTCTTTTGTGTGCCAGAAGCAGGCTCTTCACACTCATCTCCCTGTCAAGTAGATAACTCTTGCATTTTACATATGGGGAAACTGAGGTTCAGAATGAAGCCAATTCTGTGTAACTCCTCTGTGTTAGCAGAAGCAGACCACCATTCCCTCCCTTCCTCTCTGTCAAAATGCAACCCCCGTTTTTCCTTCTCCTCTGCTAAATGAAAGCCTCCCGAAGGAAAGAGAGCCTCAGATGCAAAACCTCTTAGCATCTCACCTTAGCATCTCATTTTTCACCGCAACACAGGGCTAAGAGCTTAGGTACAAGGTTATACAACTGACAGAGGCATAGTGCAGGTAAACTTAACCTTGTCTATGACCATTTGGTTATCAGAGGTTTAAAATTAACTCCCTGACTCTGGTTGTCTCGGGGAAAAAAGACTACAGTCGAACTTTCTGACCCATTAAAGTTTGTGCCTGTGTACTAATTCTCAAAGAAGAGTGAAATTCACTTATTTGGTTTGAAAGTAGCCATGAGCACAGCTTAAAACAGCTATAAATGTTTTTGCGAAGCTGTGACCTGTGGTCTGTGAACTTTGCCACTGGAGTTCATTTGCATATGTGGGTATCCGTCATGTTAGGTTATCTTCAAGTAGGGATATGCCTTCCATGTCCATTTTCTTTGCCAGTGCCTTTATTTGCTGCATTACTGTTTTTCAGGGGCAGTGTGTTCTTCTGTATTTCATCATCACTTTCACCCTCTTTCTCTTCCCCCCTTTAGAAAAGAAAATCAAGATTCTCTGGAGAATTCTCTCCTTTCACACCAATCTTCCCCACAGCGTCTGGTTCTGTCTTCAAACAGCATCCGTGCTTTCAAAATACTTTAATTTGGTAGTTATTCGTGCTTCCTGGATCAGATAAATCTAAATTATACTTGGTGCTGATTTAGCTAAGGGGAGAGAAAAGTTAGTCAGTGTATGCACTTCGACCTCTACCAAAGAGCCGTTGAGCTTCTGCCCTCCTCTTTGGTTTGTCTTCCTTATTCCCAGTGGCGTGTCCGCACACCAGTGCACCTCCAGGCAGACCCGGAAATGCAGTGGGAGAGTGACTCCACCTCTCACAGAAAATGGGGGAATACCAGTTTTTATTGGCCTGTTGAAGTTTTGCTTTAAAAAGAAAATATATACTTCTCGATGAGCCATGGATGGAACAGGTGTGACCCACTGACACTTGATAGACTTTCATCTTCCCAGACTAGTACTGTGGGTGCAAACCCTGATGAGTAGGAGTTAGCAGGTAGGTTGAAGGGGGAAAGGACAAGTGTGACAAGGGAAAATGTAGAGGTTCTGAAAGGGGTCAGGCGTAGTTAAATAAAGAAGAAAAGGACTGATGCCTCAGTCAACCAGGCAAAGTTATAGCCAAATTTTAGTAAAGATCAAAGCTCTGTAATCTTATTTTGGAGGTGGGGGAGATGTGAGAATTCTACTATTGAGCACTTCATGTTTATATTGACTAAAACAAGAGGGATATGAGTGTTTCCAAATCTCAATATAAAATGCCTTACACATTACAAATATGCAATGAATGTATCCTTCGCTCTCCTCTGCCCCCACCCACTGGAGAGATGCTGGTGGCAAATCTAGGTCCATCCCAGAACCAGGGAAAGGAGAGAGAATATGAAGCCCAAAGGGTTTTCTTGGACTTGGACCAGCCATGAGTGTTAGTGCCCTCTTATCATGGCTTCTGCCAGGGCAGCTTAGGGGATGGTTTTGAAATGTAAAAGAAAATCTTTGGATAGTGTTATATGAAGAGTCGCACTCTAAGTGCTGAGAGATCGTTGAAGGATGTAGCTCTGAAACTCTATCGTTGTTATCACTGACTGGCAAAAACCCCTTTATTGTTCTCTGATCCTTGCTTTCCATTGTTAAAGTTTACTTACACCATGAAAACAGTGTAAGCTTATATGTGCAGAACCTCTTCCTTTAGCATGTCATGGTGACAATGCCAGAGGGACTTGGTGACTCCCCCGACTCAGTGATTGTGCTTTGGGGTCTTCTCTAGCTGTGTGACTGTGGACAGGTTAATTTCTCTATGCTTCAGTTTTCTCATTTATAAAATGGGTATAATTCCTATCTCCTCCTGCTAAGATTTTAAGATTAGATGAGATAATATTAATGCATGTTATTTATAGACACTTGACAAATGCTAGTTCCCTTCCCCACCTGTTATATTGCCAAGAATGGATGGAACCTGCCATCACAGAGTGGGGAGTTTCTCTCTTTCTTATCTCCATACTCTGAACTTATATGCAGGAGTCCTTCAACTTAGTACATACCTGATAAATATTTGTTAAATGAAGTTCCAAAAGAATCATAAGGACTGAACAGAAAGTTCTATCTGTTCTGTTCCAGAATTCTGGAACAGAAAGATGTATCTCTTTGGAAAGTTCAGTAGCAGACCATAGTTTATGACCCTATGATTGAAAGCCATACTTGGCATTTTATACCCTCTGCCAAACCAGATGAGTCTCTTGGGGCTGCCTTTTATAAGGGGCCCCAAAATGTTATACGGTTTGTATGTGTTAAGAAAAAGGCTTTATGGAAGGAGGAGAAAATGCCCAAGAGCTTTCTGGTCAGAAAGACAAAAATGCATCAAGCCCCTCATTTTGCATCATCCTGTAGAGAAGCATTTCAAATCCAGGACTTTGGCCTCCAATTAGACAGGCCATGGTCCATAGATGGGTATTGGATGGGCACCAAAGATCAAATCCAAACTCCCCTGCATTACCTACGTGCACACAGCCTCTTAAAGGATCTACCCACTTGCCTAAATGATTCCGCAGTGCTCTGTATTGGTTGGTCATGGCCTCATCTTTACTTTAACCTCCTCACCTACTGCTTCCCCCTTTTTCTTTAAGATCTATTTCAAACGCATCTTCAGTAAAACGTCTCTGAACATGTACCAGAATAATCTATTCACTGCCATCACTTACTTCTCTGCATTGCCACTCTCTCTCTACCAGACTTTCAGTTCCCTGAGGTGGGGACCTTGTCCTTAAGAAATCTTTTATTCCTTTGTTGATTTAATGACATCTGTCCAGTGCCTATTAGGTACAGAGATGGTGCTGGGTGCTGGAGATATAATGGTGAGTGAAAGCATACACATTCTCTGCCCCCAGCGGAGCTCACGGTCTTGCTAGAAAGGCACACCTAACCAATAGTCATTGGAGCAGAGCTACAACCACACCTGCCACTGCTGTTATGAATGGGAGTTATATGGTGCGATGACAATCAGCATTAAGGGGAGGTGACTTGGGGAAGACAGCGGAGGCTTCCATGAACCAGTGGAGTGTAGGGCGGGGCATTGGACACAGTGTATTTGGCTTCAAGCCCACACTGTCACCCCTGTACCTGCTCTGAGTGGTCGTGCCATGGGCTTGGATCCATGAGTGAGAGGCCAGGAGGGGCAGTGGAACCAGCTGCCTTCATTTAAATTGTTAAAGATTAATTGCACTAAAACTGCAATATGGAACTGGGTAATTAGGAAGGATTAATAACCAAATGAAAACCAATCGGAAAAAATCCTGAATATGCTGTTTCGATTTAATCCAAATCTTATTTCTGAAATGTGTATTTCTCAATTGAAAGCCACCAATCTGAGGTTTTTATGCCCTATTTCTATCCCCCACAATAGTTTCATCTCTCCCTACACACACACACGCACATGCACATGCACGCACCCCACTGGGATTTATAATCGTATAGCTCTTGTAGGCCAATACTGAAAAGACTTCACGGCCCATGTCCTAGAGGATTCCATAGGCAGAGAGGAAAGGAATAATGTGGAATAATATGGAATCAGAATTCTCTAAGCTAGGGGTTATCCTTCCAGTTCACTTGTGTCCACGGCTGCTCAGGCTCGTGAATTTACAAAAGAAATAGAAGGCCTTGTCCCTGTTCTGAGGGAGCTTGCTGCCTTGTTAAAAGACAGGCTTGTGTGAATAAAACATTTGGGGAAGCCATTCAAGACCCAGTACAACAAAGAGCTGAAACTGTAGGGAGGAGAGCAGGTAGGCTTTCTTAAAGGGGGGGCGCTCAGTTCAGTCTACAAGTCAGGAAGACTGCAAGAAGCTTCAGGCATGCTCCGAAAGAAGGATTCGGAGAGAAAAAAGGAAACTACTAACATGTATTGTATGCTTATTGCATTCTAGGCACTGTGTCTGACAATGTTTTATCTTATTTTGGTCTCATAATAGTCTCGTATTTAAAAAAATTTTTACTTATTTGTAAAGAGGGGAAGGGATGGAGAAAGACAGGGAGAGAAACATCAGTGTGTGGTTGCCCCTCACACATCCCCAACTGGGGACCTGGCCCACAACCCAGGCGTGTTGCCTGACTGGGAATCAAACTAGCAACCCTTTGGTTCTCAGGCCAGTGCTCAATCCACTGAGCCACACCAGCCAAGGCTGGCCTCATTATAGTCTTGCAAAGCATATAAGCATATCCATGTTTTATAGATGAGGAAACTAAAGCTTGGTTAGTGTTACTGAATGTTGTCTCAGTTTCAAAAATTATAAAATATTGTCTACACTGTACTTTTTAGAACTTTTCTTATATTTTCATACTTTATTTTTAGAGAAGTACACCAAATTCACCATGATTGAAGACAATAAGGAAAACAAAGACCATGCTTCAGAAAGAGGAAGAGCAACTCTGGTTTTTTCCTTAAAGAATGAAGTTGGAGGACTTCTGAAAGCACTGAAAATCTTCCAGGTACCCGCTCTCCATACTGCTACATCAAACTCCCTAAAACAAGTCTCTAAAATTATATTTAAAGTATAGAATACTGTAAATTCTTCAGAGATAGGCTACAGAAATTTCTTAAGCACTTACATTTCTAACTTACTGCCTCATTCTAACAAATGGGCAAGAGATAAAAACAGTTTACAGAGGAGGAGATACAAATAGCCAATAAAAAAAGGGGGGAAGAAAGTCTTAATAGATTTTGGAAAAGCAAATTTTAACTTGAAAATATTAACATTTTAATGACATCTAATGATGTCTTAATAATATAGTTAATGATATTTCTATATAGCAAAATAGCAACTATTTTTGTAATTATATCATTCCCCATTGGCAAAGCTTCAATGCACTTGGCACTTAAACACACCTTTGGTGTGAGGGCAAATGAGTGCGCTGTGTAGAAAATCAGTCTGGTAATATATATTGTGGACCTTAAAATGTTTACACTTTTGGACTCACTAATTCCACTTCCATTAATCTATCTTAAGGAAGCAGGGATCTGTGCGGTAGACCGTAGCATTTACTGAGTGCTTAGCATGTGCCAGGCACCCTGCTAGATTCCAAAGATGCAGACCCGAGCAAAGGAGGCCCAGGGCCTGCCCTCCCAGCGTGTGCAGTCTGTGGACACACAGACACCAGCAAGTAACTATAGGAAGCAAATAATTACATGTGTGTAAAGGGACCTGAAAGCGAAGCACCAGGTTCTGTAATAGCATTGAACTGGGGGGCTGAACTTACCTTAAGGGTTTAGGGACACAAAGATTTATTTATAAGAACTAAATATTATAAACAAACTACTTATCCTAAGGTAGGGGACAGGCTAACTGTGCTACTCAAATATCTTTGGGGTTAAGCTTGTAGCTCTGGGAGCTCAAATCCTTGCTTTGTCACGTACTAGCTGGGTGATTGTGAGCAAACTAATGTCTCTTTGAGATAAAATGAGAACCCTACCTATCTATCTCATAGGATCATTGTGAAAATTAATAGAGTTAATATATGTAAGTGGTTAGGATAGTTCAAAGCACCTTATTGGTAAATGTTAGTTATTTTGAAAAATGAAGTTTAGATCTGTATGGCATACTATTATGCAGACATTTGAAATAATATTTCAAATAATTAAAAATTAAAAATACAGCCCTGGCTGGTGTAGCTCAGTGGATTGAGCTTGGGCCTGCGAACCAAAAGATCGAGGTTCGATTCCCAGTCAGGGCACATGCCTGGGTTGCAGGCCAGTTCCCAGCAAGGGACACACGAGAGGCAACCATACATTGATATTTCTCTCCCTCTCTCCTTCCCTTCCCTTCTAAAGACAAATAAATAAAGTATAAAAAATTAAAACAAATTTTTAAATAAAAAATACAGACAGATAATCTAGAAGAGTTTGAAAAGCATCATTTTTCCTACCCTACACATTATATCTTCAGTCCCACTCCCTCTTAATTGCTCTTTTGATGATGAGTTTATAAAATATAAATAGTGTGCTCTCATATCTCTGTATTATCAACTTTACATAATGTTAATTTACTCTCTATTGTAAATGATACCGATAGCTCCTCCCTCCTACTCCTCCCTAGATTTGATAATTATATAATTATTTTAAGCTAGCCAATCAATTACCCTGGGCCTTTAAATATTGTATTTATGTTGCTTCTTTCAGCTTTCTTTTTAATTTTATTTTCTGTCAAAGAATACTTGTGCATGTCAAGCATGACTTAAAAAGTCAAGTCACACTATAGAACTTGTAAGGTAGGAGCAGTCTCTTGCTTCTCCTCTCTTCCTTCCTCAGTTCCACTTGAATTTTTGTTAACCTTGGGTGCAGAGGGTTGAGTTCATCTTTCTCTTTAAATCGCAGGTACGCCGCCCTCCTTGATTTACACAGCCTCCTGGTTGATGTCATTGCTCCATTGCCCCTCACTTCTCTCTTCTGATAAGCAGCTACTTTGTTTGATATGTGCATTGAATTATTTTAATGTACACTTTAGACTATGTGGAGTTTGGTGGATGTGTTGGTAATTTACATAAATGTTGTTACACACTTTTTCTTTCACTCAACACTGTGCTTTTAGGACCTCCCTCTGCTGCTCTGTGTCCCTCTGACTTCTGTGTGGTGTTCTGGGTGCAGATCCAACCGTTTTGCTTATCCTCAGCCTGCAGGGGGTAACCAGTTTCAACTCTTTCAACTATATTTTCTAGTCTTTACTTTCATAATTCATATTTATAAATAATCTGCTTACTGTGCTCCTATTTCTTAATTTTTTTCAGTCGTAGTTACTATCTATTTCTTACCATGGAAGTTAAGATTCAGTTTTCTTGCCACAAACTCCTTTTCAGTGGTGCCCTCAAGTCCCCTTTTCTCCATCTTCCCCATGTAGCATGTCCCAGTGTTTGGCTATGTCGGTCTTCAGTGTTTTCATTAGTAAGATGATGTAAATCTTGTCCAGAGACGATCCGTACTACCCGTGACCCTGACTCTCCGTTTCTCGTGGAGCAGAATTGCAACACAGTGGTTGGGAGCATGGACGGTGCGGCCGGACTGCCTGGGTTTGAGCTCCAGCTCTCACACGTATCGGCTGTGCGCCTGTGGGAAAAACTGCTGACCTCTCTGTGCCTGTGTGTGTACCCGACACATCTGATCGAGACTGTCTCACTAATCCTGCTTCATCTGAATTTTCCAAGGTCTTCTTGCCTTAGTTTTTCTTCCAGATGGACTTTGAAATCATTTAGTTTCATTCCCTCACCAAACTCCATCAAGGTGTTGATTGGATAGCATTAAATTTGTAGATTAATTTAGGAAGAATTAACATCTTTTTCTCAAGAAATATAGCTTAGCTTTATATTTATTCAAGTTGCCCTTCAGAAAGTATTGGAGAATATAGTCTTACTGTAAAAACCCATAAGAAATACATTTAATAAAATTCTTCTTCACTTCTAGCCAATGCCAGTGTAATTCGTAACTGGCTTTCTTCTGTGGCTTCCGTGGTAAATGCCCCGCCCCGGGATAAACCCCGCCCACTTCAGTTTCCCAGCATCCCCGACACTCACTTTTTCTTTTCAGTTCGTATCCCCTGATGATTCTCATCTCATCCCTGCTTTTGCTCACACAGTTCTCCTGTTTGGAGGCCTCCTTCTTCCCTGGGCCTTCCTGTGCTGTCTCCACTTTAAGACTCCTGTCAGCTCCTATCTGCTCACGGAGCCTTCTACTCTCTCTAACCCATGATGCTTTTTCGGTTTGCCAAACATTTTTGGCACCTGAATGCTTACCACTTGTGTTCTCTCTTAGTCTTTTGTGTGTTAGAAAACAGCGTTATAAACTCCTTCTGTGTCTACTCCTTCATGGGATGCTCCACAGCCCGTACCTGGCTACATATATGTCCACTATGTTGATTTAGATGGAAGTAGTTAGTATTGGAGATCACCTACTCCAATCTTCTCATGTTTTAGAGGAAAAACTGTTGGGTGACTGGTTATTGTGTTTCATTATATCCCGACACCGGTGCTTTTCCTCAGCTACTCACACCGGTAAGAGAAGATCCCCTCCTACAGGTTTACACATTCGTTGTCCACGGCCCAGGCCGGGCGGGCAGGAGGAGACCAGAAGCAGCGATCTGGCTTAGCTGGTTACCTTGTTGCTTAAGAGCTTTGAGGTGCTCAAAGTGTTCACCTAATTTATTGGATGCATTTGCAAAGGAAACTTTTCTAAAAGACTAACAGTAGCATCACTTTTCAAAAACTGGCTTTAATTGGTAAGAACTTTCAAAAGATTCTTTTTATCTAGGAGACTTGCTATTTTCGTTTGAAGGTCAAATCAAACGAATTGAGCAATTCATTTGATTGCTCAATTATGGCAATCTGAGAAACTTCCAGTGGGTGTTGTTTTATTAGTTTCTGGAGGGTGTGATGAATTTTTAAAATTTTCTTGAATAGTGCCTAATACTGCCCTGACCGGTGTAGCTTGGTTGGGAGTTGTCCCACAAAGCGAAAGGTGGCCAGGTTGACTCTCGGTCAGGGCACATGTCCAGGCTGTGAGCTCGGTCCTGGAGTCCCAGGCAAGGCATGCACCAGAGGCAATCAATTGAGGTGTCTCTCACACATCAGTGTTTCTCTCCCTTTCTTCCTCCCTCTCTTCTCCTCTCTCTAAAAGTAAATAAATAAAGTCTTAAAAAATAGCAAGGAGAGAGGGTTTGGGGGAGGGATTGAGCAAGAAAGAAAAAGGACTCATGGACCTGGACAACAGTGGGGTGACTGAGGGGGGTGTGGTGGTGGGAGGGGACGGGTGGAGGTGGAAGAACGTATAAGGGGGATAAATGGTAATAGGAAAAATATTAGTACCTAATATTTAGGGGGATTTACTTAGCTATTGGCAGCACTAAAAACATCCTTTTCTCCCTCTGGCCATTATGACAAGTGTGAAATTGATTTTTGGGGGTAATGAAAGTCATCTGCTCAGAGACTGTCACCATTTGAGGCAGTCACACAGAAGCATCACCCTCTGCTTTGCACAGGAGAAGCGCGTGAACCTGCTACATATCGAGTCCCGAAAATCAAAGAGAAGAAACTCAGAGTTTGAGATTTTTGTTGACTGTGATATCAACAGAGAACAACTGAATGATATTTTTCATCTTTTGAAGTCTCACACTAACGTTCTGTCTGTGAACCCGTCTGATCATTTTACTGCGAAGGAGGATGGTGAGTTTGAAAAGTAAAAATAATGTACTTAGAAGAATAAGTATGTAATGTGTGTCTTATCTTTTTTTAGAATGGTACATTGTATTTATTTTCTTTTTAAAATGTCTATCCTTCAATTAAAGTTGACAATAAATAATACTTTGTATTAGTTTCACGTGTACAGCATAGTGGTTAGACAATCACATAGTTTATCTGGTGTCCCTTGATATTTCCAGTACGCACCTGGCATGATACAGAGTTATTACAGTATTATTGACTGTATTCCCTATTCTGTACCTTCCATCCCTGGGACTATTGTGTGACTGCCAATTTGTACCTCTTAATCCCTTCATCTTTTCACTCAGTCCCTGCCCAATCTTATCTTTATCTTGAAGGATGAAAGTAAAAATAAAACACTGTCTCTTCAAATTGCTTACAGTCTGTTAGTGAAGGGAACACAAAATAGAATTTCTCAAAATTCTAAGTAAAAATGACAGAGCAACAGTTTATCAGGTGAGAGAAGTGAAAAGGAAACCTTGAGTATACAAAAGAATTCAGAAGAGTTAGAAATCTATTGCTATCTTCGTTTCCAAATCATCAAGCATTTCTGGATTTCACAAACCTCCGAGTCCCCGAGTGCTTACTTGGTAGCTCCCACAGGGCTTGGCTCCTGCAGATACTGAATGCATTTGTTGAGGATGTTGACAGTGGCTGGCAGCCATGATGTGAAATACACTGCATACAACATTCCTCTCTACCTGCCCTCCTACAAAAGCAGATGAAAAAGCAGTGAAGCCTTCTGAGGCTGCAGATACTCAGAGAGCAAAGACATAGGCTAAAATCTTCCTTTGTGAAAAAAAAAAAAAAAATCCGGTAGTTTACTTGGGGCAAAAGAAGAATAGATAATTCAGCCACGTTTTATAGATGGCACTCAGTTTAAAATACTCCCTTCAGATTATGCCGCAATATTTGGGGTTTAATCAGGGCCAATATCCATTTGTATCTGTATGGCTGTATACATTATTAACATACTGATACATTTTCGTCTTTGGCTGCTTCCCAGCAGGTGTGAAGCCCGTGTGCCCCAGACCCTTCCTAGGGGCCCCTCACCTGCCACAAACAGCAGTGGGGGGTGGGGTTAACGCCTGGCAGGCAGGAGCCTAGGGTTCTGCTTGGGTCTATTTCCAGTGATGTGATTGGTGGCCCTGTTGTATTTGTTGTTAAATCCCTTGAGTATCACTTCTGGGCCTGTTTGAAAGGGTGTTAGACTAAGGTGAGGAGGTTCAAGTTCTAGTGCTCTCTTTTCCATTAGGGAGGATGAGGTACGTTAGTAAATTACTTTTCTGGACTTGGATTACCTTATGTATAAAATTCAGAGTTTTATAGAGGCTAAATGGTTCAGTTGATATTTAGGGAATACCAACTTATGTCAAATATTTCTACTGAGAAATGGGGATACAAATAGATAGTCCCTACCCGAGAGTAGGTCCCATTTTTTTCTGTAAGTCACATGTCACAGACATTATAGGGAAACACAGAGAAAGCTTTTAGAAAATTAGAAACGGTGTTCAGGGAACCTGGATGACAGGGGTCGGGGAAGGCTCCTCCAATGTGGGCCTTGAGGGAGGAGAAAGACTCTCTCAGGAAAACAGAAGGATGGGTGGAGGGGAGGGCGGGGCAGGAGTTTCAGATGGAAGAACAGCTTGTGCAAACCCAGAGTCCTATGAGGGACGGCATGTCTGGGGGATGGCGAGAAGGTCGAAGTGGGAAAGGCATGAATGACCTTTAAGATCCTTTTCATCATCAAAAGTAAACATTCAAATTTCTTATTAAATTTGCACCTTGGTCTGTACATCCCTATTCTTTTTTTAGGGTAGTTAAATAGGTAGCTTAAAAATGTGGTTTTTGGGGAACTTTTGGTCTATTAATAAAGTATAGCATTTCTCCAACACTTAAGAAATCAAGGTTTATACATTTGAAGCTAAAAAAATTTTGCATAATATTTACTTATTAGAAATAGAAAAGTTTACTTGTATAAATTTTGCCTCAATGTACAAGTTGAAATTAGAAATCTCGCCTAAGTGCCTTTATGACTTTCCTGATTTCTTCTTCCTTACTGCCTTGTTTAAGGTTGTCTCTCCCGCTGTTGGTGGCTCTTGTGTTTTGCAGACATGGACATGGTTCCTTGGTTCCCGAGGAAGGTCTCCGACCTGGACCAGTGCGCCAACAGGGTTCTGATGTACGGCTCTGAACTAGATGCCGACCACCCGGTAAGTATTTTTAATGAATATTTTCATGAACATAATTCACAGGGAACAAAAAATTACGGTTAACTTTTTCATTTTTGGAGAAAGTGCTTATTCTAGACTAAATAGGATCTTGTTTTAATTTGGATTTCAGGGAGTTTAGTAGACTCCACGTTGGTAGAATCGAGATTAACTGCCTGAAGAAAACTAACTTCGCTGGATCCAAAACATCTGTTCAGTGCCTGGCACTCCTGTTATTAAGAGCTATTCTAAGAGTTACACTAAAATAAAGACAGTATCTGCTGTCAGTTTTTATTAAAAGGGGCATGGGTTATTGGAAAGGGGAGTAAGAGTAGGATGAATAAGTCTTATCACCCATGCTGCCCACCCTAATTGGGTTATTAGGCTGTTGATGAACTACGAGGTGTTTCCTTGGGGAACCATATGGGATACAGTACGGGCATGAGTCGGAGTATTTAGTGAGGCCGGGGTGTCAGGATTGCTTATGGAGCTCTAGGATCTTGCAAGGGGAGGAGCCAAGACAGGGCGGTGTGAAGTTACACAGACCAGGGCTTTAATGAAGCTTCCCTGAGCGCTGTGAGAGTGACCGCAGGCTGCCGTAGACAGCCCCAGACAGTCCATCCTTGCCTCCTATAATATCTTATTGAGGAGCTGTTGCAATTTATGAGTTATTATACCTGCCAGGGAAGCTTGCAGTCCATTTGAAAAGATAAAGCCTGCATATGAATAAACACAATCAAGATTAAAATGTGGAAAGTGTACTAAGTGGCAGGAACAGATTGTTTTGTAAGATATACACAAGATAGCCAACACTTCCAGCTGAAGAGATCAGTTGAGTGATTAAGAAAAAAAAATCTTACCCTTGGCAAAGAGCCTGTATTTAACTAGGACAGTGCTCATATTATTCAAACCATTTTATTTTTGGAAGGCATTATACTATTTTTGCACCTTGGTATCTATAGTATCTTGTGTTTTTGTAGCTACTATAGTATAAAGCTATCATGTAACACTGACGTTAAAATAAAAATGATCATAAATTGCTAAATAATACTTGCTCAAAATAACAATTATGTAGCTCTTTAATATAATAAAAATGTTTCCCAAATATCATTTGTCAAGTACATTTTACTATGAATATTCATAACCTTTTCTTTAATTATCAGGGCTTCAAAGACAATGTCTACCGTGAAAGACGGAAGTATTTTGCAGACTTGGCTATGAACTATAAACAGTAAGTGTGTTAGAAAAACAACTTACCTTCAAAATAGTAAAATCAATAAAGAGAGTAAATTATGCTCATTTAGTAAATAGAGAAAAAGAGAAATGCTACTGTTTACTGAATGCTAATTCAAGTAACTTCTTCCCTTTATCTTGCTAGTGGAGACCCCATCCCTAAGGTCGAATTCACTGAGGAGGAGGTTAAGACCTGGGGCACCGTGTTCCGAGAGCTGAACAAACTCTACCCCACCCATGCCTGCAGAGAGTATCTCAAAAACTTACCTTTGCTTTCTAAGTATTGTGGCTACCGGGAAGATAACATCCCACAGTTGGAAGATGTTTCAAACTTTCTAAAAGGTAATAAGCTAGTTCCTTTGTTGTAAGGGGAATGTTAAACTCTGTGGATCAGGACAGAATTTTTAACAAAGGAATAAAGTCCAGCAATGGGAGATCAGAGTTCTGGGTGCCCTGTCCTGGAGTTTTGGATTCTGTGTCGGGTGTCACATTTGAAAAGGGACAGCCATAATCAGGACAAGTGTAGAAGAAAGTGGGCAGAATTATTAGGGGATTGGAAAATGTATCATATGAGTAAAATCTGAAAGACTCTTAGGTGTGTTTACCCTGGAGATTAAAAAGACATCATAGCTTTATTTAACTATTTGAAGGTCATCTAACATAACGGATTACTCTGTGGCCCTAAAGTAGAGAACTGTGGAGTAGAAACTGCAAGGTTTTGGCTCAAAATGGAAATGGAACAGGCTCATGAGGCAGTTGGTGCCCCCTCCAAGGAGGCGCTGACGCGAAAGCTCCACACCTGTTTGTCAGGGACGCGGTGGGAGGGTCCGGCTCTCGGGGAGGACTGGAGTCGCTGGGCCGAAGCCCTTTCCACATTGGGATTCTACTGTTCCCCACAGAGGCAGATGTGCTAGCGGAGGCATAAATAAAGGGTGAGCAGAGTTTTGTTCCTTTAGATCTTCACTCTCGCTTTGTCCGGGCCTTCTTATTTTTTTTCTAGTTTGTATAGAAAATAAAATGATCAGTGATCTCCAGGGCTTTCAATAGCTAAAAAACAGAAATACCTTCTTTAGTCTCAATAGATTAGGAACTTGGGAGAAAAAGAGAAATTAAGTCTTTGACTCAAAGTGAGTTTAGTTTATTTCCATTATGGTCTGAAATTACTATCTTTGAATTTTTAACATAGATTGTCATAGAAATCTGCATGTTTATTCAACTCTACAATTCTCATACCTCTATATACAAAGGAAGAACTAAGCAGGAAAGGACAATATTATTTTTTCATGGGATAAACTCATGTAAGTGGTTCCATAGACACTAGATTTAAGAAAACATAGTGATTACAGATGACAGAGAACCGATGCACATGGTCTCACGAGACTTACAGAGACAGACAAGCGTGTGCCAGCAAAGCTGTCATCAATCAAACTTGGGTGAGATTTGGAGCAAGTATTTGTTACAGACACAAAACTGAGAGCTGTTCACTTGGGGTCCAGGGCTGGAGCTGGCAGCAGAGCGTGGCACTGAAGGTGTTTCAAGGGAAAGTGTCAAAGAGAAACCAACATTCAATGATATTTTGAACAAAACATCCTTTGTGAGAGGATGTCCTGTCAAATAGGGTAGCCGTCAGATACCTGTGATTGTTTAAATAATTAAAATGGATTTAATTTGAAATGTTAGTTCTGCAGTCACACTAGCCCCGTTTCAAGTGCAATAGTCACACATGGCTAGCGGCTACCTTATTGGGTAGCCTCAATTTTAAATGTTTCCATCACTGTGGAAGGTTCATTCGGACCATGAAGTCTGCCTGTCCAAGTGGGAGAATCCGAGTACAGAGCAACCAGGTGTAACTAGAACACAGGAGTGCGAGGGCTTGAAATGAAGGGTGAAATGGGGGCGTTGGCTGCCTACTGGAGGCACTGGTACTATGGGCATGACGTCTTGGCTGTTGGGGTTATGGTCGACCCCCGTCCAGTGTAGATGAAGTAAAGAACCTGCTTTATGAGAGGTAGTACTGGCTAAGCAATGACATAGATTTGAAAATGGCTCTAACCTAAATTAATAGGTTCTGTCCAGGGGGATATTCTAAACTCTTCAGGGAGACAACAAGTTGTAGAATAAGGAGACCTGGGTTCTCATCCTGCCTGTACCCTCCACAGTGTGGCCTCAGGCACATTATGAGTCTCTGATCCTCAGTTTTATAGCTGTTACAACAAGGAGAAACCAACTCATACAGTAAATATAAAGGGAGGTGTGGTATGTAAAAGGTGTAATTCATTGCCTGGTCATACTAAGTGCTTAATCACTATTACTTCCCCCTAGTACACCTAGGATATGTTTTAGTTTTCTGTTCTCTCTCAGTGTGTAACTTTGTGCCACTGACAGAATTAAAATGCTGCAGTATGTGGTCTGTTCTGGTGAAGGTTTACTGTGGGTTCTCTCCCTTGCTTTGCAGAACGCACAGGTTTTGTTATCCGTCCTGTGGCTGGTTACTTATCACCAAGGGATTTCTTATCCGGTTTAGCCTTTCGAGTTTTCCACTGCACACAGTATGTGCGACACAGTTCAGATCCCTTGTATACCCCGGAGCCGTAAGTACTACATTGATTGATTGATTGATTCATTCATTCAATACCTGTTTGTAATATAGAACCCACCTCATGATATTTTTGGGAAGATTAAATACATTAGCACAAGCAAAACATTTACAATGGACCCTGGCATATAATAACATGCTTCATGCTCTCTATAAGTTAGCCATTATTATTATTATTATTATTATTATTATTATTGTTATTGTTATTGTTATTGTTATTATTCAACCTGTTAGGTGACAGGTGCTATTCTAAGCATAGAGGATGAATGAATGTATAAACACTGAAAAAAATCAGACAAAAATTTCTGCCTTCATAGAGCTTCTATTCCAGTGGGGGGGGTACAGATAATAAACACAGATATATATTCAGCTAGTGATTCGTGCCATGGAGAAACATGAAGCAGGGAAAGAAGGAGGGGTGTGCATGCGTGTGTGTGTGTGTGTGTGTGTGTGTGTGTGTGTGTGCGTGTGTTATTGCTATTTTAAAAAGAGTGTTCAGGGAAGGTAGCTTTGGAGCAGAGACCTGATTTGGGGAAGGGGCATGTCTGTGGGCATCTGCATGTACTTATACGTGCGAGTTTGTGAGTGGCCAGCGTTTGGAACCAAAGCTGTTTCTTTATTTGGTTAGTGTCCTTTGTGATCCTTTTCCAAAGTAATACCACTTGATCGATTTCAATGAAAGTAAGATCAGACTTTAACTTGATGGAATGGCTGATTCACGTGCTAATGTTAAGCATCACAGTGTGACAGGCATGCACCTCTTTTTCAGCGATACCTGCCATGAACTCTTAGGTCACGTTCCCCTTTTGGCTGAACCTAGTTTTGCACAATTCTCCCAAGAAATTGGCCTGGCATCCCTTGGAGCGTCGGAGGAGGCTGTTCAAAAACTGGCAACGGTATAAGTCTGGAAATAACTGTACAGATCAGTAATTCTTAACTGGGGTGGGATGTGGGCACTTGCACAGTTTAAAAGTGCATATTCAAGATGACCATTAGAAAATATGGCTTGGTTCATACTTAATTTAATTTAAATCACTTATATAGCATTAAAAGAGGATGTAGAGATTTAAGGTTTATCAAAAGGAGACATGAGCTTAAAAAGACAGGGAAACACTAGAGTACAATCATGTTAATAGTTGATGTATCTTCTTCTTCCAGTAAAAATGACAGGTTCCCCCCAAATGATGCTATCAGTATTTCTGAGTAGTAGGTACAAGACATCATGCTGCGAATACAAAGATGAGGAAGGCCTGGTTCCTGCCTTCCAGGAACTTCAATGCTACTTTAGGAAACAGTTATGTTAGGATGGGAGGAAGGTGCAGAGAAGTTCAGAGGAGCGCTCTGGGTGTGCAGGGCACTGCTCGGGGAAGGTTTCATGGAAGAGGAACATCTGAACCAGCTCAGGGAAGATGAGTAACATTTCCATGTGCCAAGAAAGGAAGGAAGAGCCTCTAGGGATGAGGGCACACGAGGAAAGGCAAGGAGGTGCTTGGTGTGTCTGGGGAAATGACAGGAAGCTGGGGTGGAGAGTGCGGGGTGGGGGGGGCTGGGGGGGGAGGGGTGTGAAACAGGCTCGATGGTTAGACAGTGCTTCCCAGATTGTGGTTGGCGGTCCCTGAGGCCCTTTCAAAATCATGTACAGGTAACAGATCCATTCAAAGCTCAAAGTGGATTTTAATGTAACAGACAGAGTTCGCTGATGTGGTTTCAGATTCCACAATGCAGCTGAACTTTAAGAAACTGCGGCTTTTTGAGTTTTGACGTAATATCAAATAATAACATCCACAGTTCCCTGAAAAGACTGTTACAATATTCAGCCTCTTCCAACTACTTATCTGTGTGAGGCTGAATTTTCTTCATATACTTTAATCATATATGTTAGCCATTATTATTACTATTATTAATTGTTAGCTTGTTAAGTGATGGGTACTGTTCTAAGCATAGGGAATATAACATGGAAAAAATGGATAAAATTTTTGTCTTCATACAGCCTAACTCTAATGTGGCATACAGATAATAAACAAATGAATATATATTAATATATTTAAACCAAAACAACATATTGCTACAGGTTAAATACAGAGGCAGATATGAGAATCTATTTGTTTTCCAGCCACACATTAAATAATATCTATCCAGACATTAAAAAGGTTTGTAGTAATGTAAAACAGTGTTATTTATTACCTTTTTGCTTTATAAGATGTTGTTATTTTTCAGTAAAGTGTTATTTGTTACCATAAAATTGTTTATATTTTACAATTAATTAATAAACTTTAAATATTTTCTCAGTTTTAATTTTTAATATGGCAAGTATAGCTAGCTATAGCCCACAAAAATAGGTCTGAGTGACTCAGTGACAACTCGGTGACTTTGATGAGTATGTGAGGGCCCTGGGAACAAAGTTTGGGAAGTGTAGGCTTAGAATGAGGCCAGATTGTACACATACTGGTGAGTGAGTCTGGGGGTCTTCGGCTTCACTCCAGGATACTTTGGGTCAGGGGCAAAGAGTTACAATTTGTTTTAAATCGAGCCACTCAGGATATGGAAGTAATACGGATATGCGTTTGCAGTGCTACTTTTTCACCGTGGAGTTTGGGCTGTGCAAACAAGATGGGCAGCTGAGAGTCTTCGGTGCTGGCTTGCTGTCTTCTATCAGTGAACTCCAAGTAAGAGCTGCACATCTTTGCACGTCACCACATTTGCTTAATATCACCCATGTGATCTAAAATAGTTGGCAGATTTGGACGAGAGCTTGCTATGGAAGGCACTTAGGGTGACGGTAAACGTTATTTAAGGGGAATTTTTCTCTGTTTCCTAAATATTCTGATATATATATATATATATATATTGATATATTGATATATATATAATCACACACACATAAGTGTGTGTTCATATATCTTTAAAATAAAAAGTTTAAAGTTTTTGCTTATAAAGTCTTGCTGTTGTTTAATCACCATTTTTTATGTGCTAGCAATAACTTCTGTGATTTTCAGGGAGTTCTTTTGAGATTTATTATTCAGCCAGTAAGGGAATAAACAGGCTTGTTGAATGATGGATGTGTATGGCACAAATCCAAGGCACTATCTTGTTCCCAAGGAGCCTGTCACCTGGTGGTGGGTTTGGGTCATGCACATGAATAACTAATGCAGGGAGAAAGTAGGTGCCGTAATGCAAAAACATGTAAGGATCCTTCCATGCCTCCTACATGGAGAAGAGTTTTAGAACAATAGAGATGATCTTGAGGCATTTATAGAGAGAGGCAAATCACTCGTTTTGCTGGATAACAGTGTGGGTCAAATAGAGCTGTAGGAAATTAGCCTGGAATTGTAGGTCAGGGCCATTGCATTAGCAGTGAAAATCAGATGTGTGCTGTTTCTAGCAATTATGTGTAAAATGTGATATGTGGAAATAGATAGTATTCTTAGATTCACTAGCTCTTTGTCTTCTAGCATGCACTTTCTGGACATGCCAAAGTAAAGCCCTTTGACCCCAAGATTACCTGCAAACAGGAGTGTCTCATCACAACTTTTCAAGATGTCTACTTTGTATCTGAAAGCTTTGAAGATGCAAAGGAAAAGATGAGGTAGGGTATATCTTCCCCATGCCTTAATTTTCCTCTGCAATACATAGGTCCAATAATGGTAACAACTCATAGACGTAAGCAAACAGATCATTAGAAGCCTACTAGGTGCCTTCTGCCTGTAACATATCTCCCTTTCCCAACAAATATTCAGAGTACGTTGTTTAAATGAGTTGTAAATTATGAGTCAGATATACCAAGAAATTGTTTCTTCCCATTTCTTCTAATCGGAGATTTATAATGTCATAGGAAAGACAAACTTTACACAAGTGACTATACAACAACATAGAAAGCCTTCGTGGAAATACAGATGAAACACTGTTTGCATTTTATTCAGGAGCGATTCATTTCAGCCAGGGGAACAGGGAAAGCGAATGGCCATTTAGAAAGGACACGAAGGAAAGAGAAGATTTAGATATGCTAAGCTGTAGGCTTAGGGACAACATAAAAAAGGTAAGGAGGTGAAAAAAATATAAAAAATGTGGGATGAAATCAAAGCTATGTTTCAACTATTAATTAGCTAAGTGTGGTGTTAAGAAAGGTGGATACTGCAGGCAGAGCAACTGCTTCGATTCTCACAGTACTTCACGTGAAAATAAAGCCTGAACTAAGATAAAAGGTTGGAGGGAAGAAAAGGACCATCCAGGCAGAATCAACAAAATATTGGTGGAAGGGGTCATGAGATCATATTGTGACGGTGGAGATAGACTGGGGTTGAAGACATGGCCCTTGTCTTCCAGGAAGTTTCTTCTAGTTGGGGGTTTAAGCCACTCACAGAACCAAATAACAATAGCAGAAGGGCTTCCTCTAACCCCCGTGGCACCTTTTCGCAACTAGAGGAGGGGGCCCCTCTGGGCTGACCAGGTGGATTCAAGCTGGATTTCATCCCCTGCTGGTGTATAATTGTCCTGAGCTGCGCAATGGTCCTGAACACGATCGTTCTTGGGAGTGCCCAGTGAGAGGTTCAGATTTTGGCTTGATAGAGCGGAACTTTCATGCTTGAAGAAAGGGTAGAGTTTAGGTCATTTTAGAGAAGGCTAGAGGTAAACATTCTAAGCAGAAAGAATGTACATGTGCAGGAGACAGGACTGTTCTCGGCCTGTGTCAGAGAGTGTGTGTGCGCCCTTACATAAATCACAATGGAGGGGTCTGTTACAACGGTACGTGGCCAGTGTTGTCATTCTCCACTGATAAAGCTGCTGTTCTCGGTCTCCATTCTGTAGTTAAGAGGTGCATAAAGTAGTAAGTTGTTAATAAAGCCATCCACAGGACCTTTCCCTAGTAACGCAGGGGCGGATGTATCCATGACGACTTTAGGGTTTCTACTTGTGTGGGGCTCCAGGCGCCTCTGCACACGCACTGCAGGGAAGCAGGTCGGACTGGCGGCATGAACACCTAGATTTGTCTTTTGCCTCTTGTGTGAAATAGGCTTGCTGTTAGTTTTCACCGTTTTCCCTTTAGAAATTGATTGCCTTTTATTTGTTTCTTAAATAGAGAATTTACCAAAACGATTAAGCGCCCCTTTGGAGTCAAGTATAATCCATACACGCGGAGTATTCAGATCCTGAAAGATGCGGAGAGCATCACCAGCGCCATGAAGGAGCTGCGGCATGACCTCGATGTCGTCAGTGGTGCCCTGGCTAACATCAGCCGGCTGCCGAGCATCTGACCACATCCGGTCCTAATCCTGAGAGCATCTGAGCATCTGTGCAGAGGACTAGGGGCCAGCTCTTGCTTTTCTTGAAGACTTGGTCATGGGGGCATAGCAGCCAAACAATGTTTCCCACACCATTTCTTTTTAGTATATTATCTAGATTATCTTTTTTAAAAGATTATTTTATTGTTGTTCAATTACAGTTGTCTGCATCCCCCCCCCCCACTCCCTCACCCCAGACAAACCCACCTCCCTCCCTTGCTTCTCCCTCCACCCCCTTGGTTTTCTCCATGTGTCCTTTATATCTACTCATCTCTTAGTGGTCCATTAATGTTTGAAAATTTGTACCTGGAAACTCTAGCCACCACCTATTTTGGGGGGTAACAATTTTAGTGAAGTATGGTTGATATACCATACAATTTACTGACTACCTATTTTTTTAAATAGAGGTTATTTGTCCCAATGGATATATCTATTCCCAGCCTGATTCTATTTTTTGCAATCCTTCTTCAGTAAAATAACCCTTATGATCACTTAACATACTTTCAGAGGTATTATGGAGCTGGTTCATATTGTTACCTAAATCCTCTTATTCCTAAACCAGCTTACTTATCAATAAATTTGTGCCAAGCTTGATCACACCCACACACCTAAATTTAATAGGAGACCAGCTGCAGGCATGAACAAAATAAGAGAGGACCTTGCCCATGAAGCTTACCTGGTAGAGAACAAGCAATCTGGCTTCAAGTGTAGTGTCTTGTAGGGAAAGAGGAGTAGCTACGTCTGACAAGGTCAATTAGGACCAGACTAAGAATATGGGGCTTTATTTTGTAGGCACTTGGCTGCCCCTTCCCAAATGACAATCCTCCTTAAGGAACTTGGTTGGGGTACCACTTGCAAAGCCCTGCACTCAGACACGTGGCCCCAGGTATTGTGATGGATCGTCCTCAGGTTAATAGGAGGCCACGCTGTCAAAGAGAGAGTGCCAGCTGACATGGACAAGAGCAGCACCAAGTTAAAGTTGGAGTAGTGCCAGGCACGTTATTTGTAAAGTATTGGGTGAGACCATACAGAGGAAGGTGAGCCATGAGGGTAGAGCGTGGGGCGATATGGAGGAAATGGAATGTAAGGTCAGGAAGAGCGTTTGGGGACCTACATGGTCACAATGCAAGGGCTGGCTTTTGTGTGGTGTGTGTGGTGTAGGACAGGGAGTAGGCCTGCTATTGTATAAACAGACAGAGCTGGGCTCCCAAATACACGCTGTTTTTTAAAAAAATTTGCTCCTTTTCTCTCCTCCCTTCCCCAAAGGAAGACTTTCCTCAAGTGTCTGTCTTTGGCCCTCTCCTCTCTCTGTTGTCTTCTCATGGGAAATGGCATCCAAGTCCCTGACTTCAGTTCTTATTTTGTATGATTTTTATACTTGCAATCCTATCCCTGACATCGTTCTCGGAGTTTTGCCTCTTAGTTCCAGCTGTCTGCTGGATATTTCCGTCTAGGTGCCCCATAAATCAGGCCAGCGCTGTACAATGTTCTGTGGCACCGTCACAGAATGTAACAGAACCGTGCAGTGCGGCAGCCCTGCCCAGTGTCTCAAACTCAACAGGATCCAAACGAAACTCAGAATAATCTGAATGTTACGTCCCATCGGCTCCTTCTCCCAGGGATCTCGTTTTTACTGATGGTATATCAGGGGTCATATTTTCAGCCAGTTTTCCATTTCTAAGAAACTGTCCTTATATTTCACATTAATAGTCAAATTAAATATCATTTAACACGTTTTATTTCAACGGGTCACTTGATCTTTTAATCCTTATTAGACCTCAAAAGAAATTGTAAAAATCTTCTTTAAAAGTCCTTTCACTTTATGTTATGTTAGGAAATAGAATTAGGAAAGGTAATTCATGCTATTTCTTGTTTTTACCTTACTTACAAATTTTAATAGCCAATTAACTGTTAAATATAGTTTTGATAGCAGATAGATGTTAACTCAGCTAATCTGAAATCATTTAAAATATTCATTATCTAGTTTATAGTTAGTGTAGTTGGTTGCAAGGAAATGTGTCATAAGATGTTGGTCGGTGGTCAACACCAGCAAATTGCGCATCCTGTGTCTGGTTATTTTCACATGGCTTTGACCATGACGAAGACTCATAGTTATTGAATTTTAAATGATGGTATTTAGAATCACTCTAAAGCACACTAAAATCAATATCTAAAGGCACAACCATTATAATTAACAACTTCAGAATAACAGAAATATTTAAGGATTGATTTCAGTTCTTCTAATCTCTGGATTTGTGATATTTGATAGGTCAGGATTCCTGCAAGTCTTAGAATTTTCATACATTCAAAAAATATATATCTTCAAAGCATCTAGGAATAGAATTGAGCCAAATGTTTGGTTCATAATTCTTCTTTTCTCTCTTTTTCTTTTTTTCTTGCTGTGTTTGTGGTTGAAAGAACATATAATAGAGTTCATATACTAATTTCTAGGAAATATATAAAGAAAATAATGTGGTCTATTTCAGTCCAGTCTTTGTTTTATGATGTGCCATGCATTTATAATTTGCAAGTTTGTTATTCAACTGGATAATAAACGGATGCAAAGTTCATGTTCTCAACGAGCATTTATTTTCTGTCAAACATGTTAAAAACTGATTAAAATATATTCTCAATTGTATTAGTTTAAGAAATCTATCACATCTTTGTACTTCTTTAAAAGCCTATGACTGTATGAGATAAAGGAAGCCAAACACACGTGGAACCTAGTAACCACTTTTTGGAATTCTTGGTGAAGTCTCAGTCTGGTGATCCTTATCTATAAAGTGAGCCGGGTCTACTTCACTGGGTTATTGGGGGAATTATGTTGTGAGAGGACTTCATAGAGAGAAATGTACTATCCTTAACCATATGTAAAGAATAATCAGTAGCATCACCCTCCTAATTGGAGATCCTCCATACCTTCTGGATGGTTTTATCTTCCTCCAGAGGGAATTGACTTTTACCTGTAGTAGGCGGTAAGTTTAATGGCATGGAGGGATCTTCTTAGCCCAATTAGGGATTATAGCAATTTGAAACTGAACTTCAGTCTTTGTGGGCCCAGTCTATTTCCAGTTAGCCTCTACTCTTAGGGTGCAGCCCTTTAGGGAGCCCAAAGCAAAGTTCTAGGTATGTCCTGGGGCTTCCCCTGGGGAACCCTGGACTCCTAGTTTTGTCTCCTCCCTCCCTCGCATTTCCCCCACCTCCATAAGATTACTAAAGTACTGTTCAGTTTGTCAGCTTCTCAGTTCTTGCTTTCAGCTGCCCAGTTTCTTAGCCTCCAAGTCACTGCTAGCTAATTAGCAAATGCTTCAAGCGGAAAAGTGCCAAATACAATCTCTCATCTTCCAGATATTAATCCTTTAAGTTTTGGCTGCTTCGATAGTTCTCCAATGACTTGAAACAGATTTGAAACTATTTCCCCTAGCTTTTCTAGTTGATGAGAGAATTGGCCTGGTGTCAGTTAATCTGCCTTTATCTGACCCTGAAGTAAATCACTTAACTTCTTTGGGCCTAAGTTTTCTCATCTGCAAAATAATTATGATGCTAATAATACTTATCATACCAGTAATAGTGAGAGGGTCAAATAAGATAATCTAATGAAAAAAATTTCCTAACATGATGCAGAGATATAGTCTGCATGGCCCCAAATGCTTTATCTTTCCCTCTTCTGGGGAGTCAGGCGTGTGAAAGTTCTGCCATCAGAGTTTAAGTCTAGCCCCATTCAACAACTGCTACTCAACCAGGCTGTCACTAGTCAGTGGCATGTACACAGCTGAAACAGTTGCAACATCCGAACACTTCCAGGAAATTGTATTAAGGGATATAACATAACATTAGAACTGCAAGTTAGCTCAAGTATCGATGCATGTGCATTCAAGGGGTGAAAAGAGAAAACAGCTGTATCCTCCCAGGCCCTCTCTGTATTAAAACTGGCTCTGTGAGTAGTTCCTCTTTGCCCATTTGAATGAAATCTCAGGTCCTGGCCTTGAATTTTCTGCGCATGCGCAGTCTTTAGTTTCTAATCAATCTCTCTTTCTCTTTCTACACAATTCAAAACATTAAACTTTACCTGAGTTTAATGTTTTTCTTCTTTACAGCTGAGAAAGAAAGGGGTGTGCTTAGCTTCTTAATCTTCTTTTTCCTCCTCCCTCGCTCACTAGGATGCCTCTGGCTCCTCCAGGGAATGGTGGTGGGAAGGAGCAGATTTGTGTGTGTGTGTCTAATACTGTTGTGAGTTGGCATCAGTGCTTTTGTACTTGGTAAGTATTTAGTGCTGGCTCATTCTCCGTGGGCATTGTGGAAGACCTTTCCACCTTCTAATTTTTCGTGATGTGGGTAAATGCACCTCTCTGACTGGGCTGTTGAATTCCCCTCCCTCAGCCTCCAAGAATCTGCTGGTCAGCTCTCCTGGAGTGTCACTCCAGCCCTCCAGGATTCCCTTGGACGGGGTCGAGTCAATCCCTTGGCTAAATTGTTCATGCATGGGGAACACTTACATGGCAGACACTCAGACATTCTTTGTCATGGAAAATCAGACACGAAAGACCTCTCTGAAGCATCAGTGTCTCCTCACTCAACTATCAGAACAGTGATCCAGCCACAAGCCATTGGGTTCCTCAGCATGACTTGTACAGCAGCCTGTTTGGGTCCCAGTCTGGAGGGAGACATACCATGTGTTCTAAGTAGCCCTGTTGAAGTTCACCTTTAGGCATGAGATGGGTGTGGACTCACAGTACCTTTGTTACAGAACAAACCTGGAGGGTGCGAATGATATACTATTACCGAACAGTGCCCCACCCTTGTGCTCTGGGGGCTCCCCACCCTTCACTATGCCCGCTGCCAGGGAAAGATAGCTCTCCAAGCCAGAGGTTGGTGAAAAGGAAAGGGATTATTTATTTAAAGAGTTATACAAATTAAGAGTAATAAATTAATGTCTTCATCCCATTAAGGGATGAGATCCCATTAAGGGATCTTCATCCCATTAAGATCCCCTTTTGGGATCATCCCTAGATCCCAAAGTCCTTTAGAATGATGCCCACAAATACACAGTCCTTCCTTCCCTCTCTGCCCAGTCCAGGGTACTGTATCTCAGAAAAAGAGATAGAAGTCCGTGGTTCTTCTCTGCCCAAGCTACGTGGTCCCAAAAAGACACCGCATGGATGCTGCACCTGGCTTTAAATCCCAGTACCAGTCTTCCTCTGCTGCACCATTTCTGACTCCTCCCACAACTGGCCACAACTGCCAGAGTTCCCATATTTTTCCAGCTTTTCTGGGCTGCCATAGTAAGTTTGGGCAGGTGTGGCCCTGTGGTGTGGAGCCAATCATCTCTAAGCTCTTACGCAGGCTCTGCAACCAGGGGCAGTTGCCTCCCAGTTACATGGGTTGAAGTCACACCCCCCCCCCTCAAAGAATGGCCACAGCTATTTAAAATATCTATGAAACCAGTTAAAGGTTATAGATATGTTAAAGACCATTCTAGAGGTTATCTGCAAAACTGTTGTTATGCAAAACAACTCTCAATGGCTCTGCTCTAGGCATCCCATCCCCAGCGCAGACTTGTGGGGGTGAGGACATCCTATATATATATTTTTTTTCTAATATCTCCTGGACACTGTGTTCTGGACATCATTACAAATCCCTATTTGGGCCCCCTGCCCTCCTTGGCTGCACCACGTTACACACTGACAACTATTTTTTTTAAAGATCTTATTTATTTTTTTCAAGAGAGTGGAAAGGAAGGAGAAAGAGGAAGAAAACATCAATGTGTGAGGTTGCCTCTCATATACCCCTACCTGGGGACCTGGCCCGAAACCCAGGCATGTGCCCAGACTTGGAATTGAACAAGCCACCTTTTGGTTTGGAGGCCAGTGATCAAGCCACTGATCCACATTCCCCCAAGGCACACTGACAGCTATCACCACACTGCTTATCAGAATTCCTTCTCAGACTCTCCAACCTTTTCCACAGACTAGATGGCATAGGCTGGTTTCTAGACACCTCCTTCACAAGTTATGCTTGGTGGTCTTGTACCTCACTTTGTGAGAGTAATTGGCATTTATTGCCTTGGGGGGGTCTCAGCCAAAACTGAGACAGAAAGGGTCCCCTTTCTACATCCTATTACACATGCTTGAAAGGAATTGTCAGGAGAAAAAGTCCGATCTTATAAAACAACCATCAAACATGGCATAGTTTTTGCACATCAAGGTCCCCGGAGAACAAAGAGCTGCTTTGCCTCTCTAAAGTTTTTATTTTTACTTTTTTTAGTATGGTTTTCTTCGCATGGCCATAGTCTGGAGAGGTAAAGGTGAAGTGCTGCCCTCTAGTGGTCCTACAGCCAGAAACAACGAGGAGTTTTGGCGTGAAAGAAGAGGGTAAGAGCTCAGCCCAGCCACTCCCCAGGACTCCCAGGCCAACCGGCTCCTCCGGGTGATGAGTTCAGGAGGCCTGTGTCACCACAGGGGTCAAGAACTAGTGAATATGAATTATTAGCCTTAATGTGACCCCATTTGTACCCACAAAGTAAAGTGGGTATGCACAAAAAAAGGAAAAAAAAATCACCCCTGATTCACCAACCTGAGTGTGTGTGTAAAATTGACATAACACTTCCACAATATATCAAGAATATTTCCCTTATTTCATACCTTAAAAACATTTTAAAGGGGCAGCATAATATTCTGTTGCATGGTTATGCCATAATGTAATCAATTTATTTTTGGACTTCCAGGTAATAACGTCTTTCCTAATTTTATGTAATCCTATAATGAATAACTTGCAGTTTAAGACTTTATGTATAGCTGTGATTATTTTCTTGTGATAAGTGAACAGATGTGGAATTACTGAATAAATATCTATCTTCATATTACTAATATAAATAACCACATTTTCCTTCAGGAAAATTGTGCTTATTTAGATTCCACAAAAAGGGTATGAAGGTGTCTTATAAAAGCCATTTTATATGAAAATCTTTGTTGGGTGAAAATTACCCAGTACTGATGACTGGAATCGGGGCTGGGGCATGCTCGGAGCACTGAGTCGGAAGGCTGCCCCAGCAGGAATTCACGAGAACCAGCCTTCTCCGTGTAAATTCCTGCGCCATGCTAGGCGCTGAGGGCGACACTAACGATAATAAGACACTATCCTCATCTCTCAAGAAGCTCCCTCAGATTTTACAAATGCACACCGAAGCAGGCCCAACGACAAGTTCTTACCCATCAAATGGTGAAGCTCTGTAGTGGGACTCCCAGGAGATAAAAATGTGAAGGAGCGTGGTGCACCTTCTCGTCTAGAATTAATGCTAAAAATAAAGGCAAAGAGACACAGCTACCCTGCAAAACAGGAGGCCAGGGGCAGAGACGCCCCGAGCACCCGGACCACAGGGTGGCAGCGGCCAGGCTCTCGCACGTTCCTGATTCGCGGTGGCAAGAGGGAGGCCCGCCGGCCCCGCCCCTGAAGCCAACCCCGTCTTCCGCGCCGGCTCCGCCCCCTCTGGCCCCGCCCACCGCGTTGGCCACTCCCGGAAGCGTCGGTGGAGGGTCCCCCATGGAGCGGGATCCCGGCGCCTCGAATGCTACCCCAGCTCCGACCGCGCTCTTCGCCTGGGTACGTGACTCCGCCCCCGCGCCGGGGCGGCTGGGACCGAGGGGCGCACAGACGCTGGAGCTCCCGGCCTCCGCGTGGGCAGTTCTGGGTTGGACCGCGGAGATCCGAGCCCCGCTCCCGCTCTGGGTTGGAGGATCCTGGGCTGGTGGCGGAAGAGGAGAAGGCGGTAGGGAAGGGTCTTCATGGGGTGACTTAAGGGGTCTGCTGGTTGATGGGGTCCGGACCGGAGGGGCTGTGGCTTTGTGGGAAGAACCTGCTTCCAGGGCAGAGCGTCTGGTTCCGCGAGAGCTCCGGGAAGGACAGCGTGGATGGCTCTGTAGAGAGAGGATCGCCCCATCTCAGAGCCCTGTGGGTCACCTGTGATCCGCACCCTCCCATTGCCCGGAGGATGGGGCCTTTCCCGGGCTCCACCCCAGCGTGGAGGGAGCATCCTTTCTTGTGAGGCCTGCAGTGTTTGGCAGTGTGTGCACAAGGCAGAGACCCTGCATAGTTGCTGCTATTCTGCTGTGACCAGGATCTTGCCCGTATTGGGAAAGTGGGAGTCTGCGTATCGGTTTGACAGGAGCCCCGAGATACAGGGTCATCTTTTTGTGTCGGGGCTGGGAGAGAGGAGGGTCTGGGCCCAGGCGTGTGTGGCAGGCACCTGACCAGATGCGCGGGAACAAGCAGACGTTGTTTCTTAATTCTTCATAGCACATATCCCAATGGGAATGAAATGCATAATTGTTAATGCCAGTTTCCTTGGCTGGACTGCAAGTATCATAACAGTGGGTAGTGTGCCTGTTTTGTTCACGGTGCCTGTCACATGACAAGGTAAGGTGCTCAGTCAATATTTGTTGACTGACGACTGAATGAGTACCTGTTGTGTGTGAGCTATGTGCTAGCTTTTTGGGAAAAACACGGGTTGGGATGGGGGTGGGCTGGGCTGGGCTGGGCTGGGAAGATACATATATTGCTGTTCACTTATTAACAAAGGTAATTATCAGCACGAGGAAGCACTTGTTGGCTCTAAGGCTGCAGACAGAATGAAGAGTGGTGTGGCTTCAGCTAGTCTGGCTGTCAGTATTTTGGAGGTGGTCTGGCTGTCAGTGTCTTGGAGGTGGTACCTGAGCTGGTGATGGAGGTGGGGATTGAATGTGTGCCCGGGATGAGTGGTGTTTTAGGCCTTTCCCAGGCCAGAGACTGGGGTCTGTGTGGATAGAGAAAACATCTGACAGAAAAAACCTTTCAGATGGGCCTTGTCCCTTACCCCCCACTGTGCTTGGTGACCTGTGGTGTGTTCTGCGAGCTACGTTATCTGTGTGGAGGGGTGTATTAGTTTGCTAGGACTCCCATGACAATGTCCAACAGACTGGGGGGGTCTTAAACAATGGGCATTTATTTTCTCACAGTTCTGGAGGTCAGAAGTCCAAGATCATGGTGTCAGTAGGAGCTTCTTCTGAGGCCTCTGTCTTTTGCTTAGAGACGGCAGCCTTCTTGCTGTGCCCTCAGATGTAATTCTCTACTTGTGAGGGCAGCCCTATGTTTCTTCTTGTAAGGACATCAGTCATATTGGCTTAGGGCTGCATCGTTATGACCTCATTTAACATTAATTACCCCTCTGAAGGCCCTGTCTTCAAGCACTGTCACATTTTGAGCTACAGGATGTTAGGGTTTAAACAAATGAATTTTAGGGGGACACAATTCAGTCTATCACAAGGGAATTTACCTTCTTGGAGTTGTGTGTGTATCTGGAGTGTGTATAAGGAGGAGAGGCAAATAGAGGTATGATAGGTTGTATTAAAATTTCCTTTTGCTCTGTCATGGATTTAGGGCTACATCAAAAAAATTTGGTATCATACTTTGAATCCCACAATGCCAGTGCATGGCTTTCTGTTCAGTGGCCTGTAGTCCTGGTAATGGGACAGCCACGAGATCTCAGGACTGACGGAGAGATCCTGTGTGTGTGCCCTCCACTTCATATTCGGCAAGCTTTCCATTTTTTCTTTCAGAGGGAGGGGCTCATAGGGTCTTACATTCATTCACTGTAAAATATACGCACACCTTTTCTGGGCCAGCACAGTTTCAGATGTAGGGGAAATAGCAGTGAGCAAAACAGAGTTCCTGCCCTGATGTTTACTTTTTAGGAGGTAGACAGTAAATAAGTAAACATATATTACATAATGTCAGGGAGTGCTATAAAGAAAAATAAAGCAGAAAAAAGTGATGGGAGTGCTATTTTTGATAGGGTCATATAGTCAGCCTTCAGCCAGGTAAGTTCTAGGCTGGTTCACCATATATATATGTATATATATATATTTTTTTCTTTATTCTTGGAGACAAAGTATGGTATAATGAAAGGAGTGGGCATCTGACTTGTTGCCTGCCTGGCTATGTGATGATGGAAAGTTACTTAACCTCTCTGAGCCTTAGTCTTCCTCTGTACAACGAAAGCGACAGTCCCTATCTCCTCTGTTGTTCTGAGAGTTAACGGTGAATGCCATTCACTACAGGGAGGAGTACTCAGTCACTGGCAGCTGATACTGCTCATGAGGGCCTCTGGGGGGGGGCAGTCTGTGTCCCTGCCATGGCTTGCTCTTCCAGCATGGAGTCCTTGCAGTTGCAGATAACTGTCGTAGAGGCCACTAGGGGCAGGAATTTACATGTAATACATTATTTTTTGTAGTTGTTTTAAATCAGGCATTTTAAAAACAAGCACATTTTAAAGCTTTTATTACTCATCTCTGAGAAGAACCAGCAAGAAGCCGATATTTGGAGAAATTATAAGGATTTCTGAAATCTTAATTAGGTTCTCTCTGCAGGTTCCCAAGTCCTTATCTTCATGTTGAAAACAAAAAGCGCTGAATACCCCAAACAGACCTGACACAGGCTGTGTACAGTCTTTGCCCACTTACTGTGAAGCTGTTGTCATCAGTGTGAATCTGCATACTGTTTACTGCAGGAATGATACTGTTTTGCTTATGGGGCTCTGCTCCCAGACCTTACAAAAGAGCATATGATTTTTATACTGTATTACTTTTCATACCTGGCTACGAGGGTTTCAGATTAGGGATTATGGACCTTTATTGTATAATAATGAATGATAGACATATTGCTCACCAAAGGGAAATCAGTTCGCTTACAGGGATCTCACCACGTGAATCTTAGAGCCACAAAACATAGTGCTTGGAAAGGCCCTTAGTGATCGTTGCCAACCTCTTTCACTTACAGATGAAACAACAGTGATGTGCCCTGCTTGAGGGCACAAAACCCTAGCTAACTTTGATTACAGAAAGTCATTGCCATCATCCCTGTGGAGTGTGGGGAGAAGGGATAAGAACTAGTCCTAGCATATTTCACACCCACTTGTTCCCATTTCCCCTCATTATTTCTTTTCTTAGCCACTCCAGGAAATTAACTTTTATTAGAAGAACTCCCCTGTTGTCCCCAAAAGCAACATACAGGGGGCTTGGGGCACTGGAAGGGGAAGGTGCAAAATATCATCGGATAAGCCGTGGATGCTAAGGCTCCTACAGTGTGGTGGTGTCCTGGGGTGAGGCTGCCATCTAAGTGTCGGTTGCATATAACAGCCTCTAAACAATGAGTTTATGAAACCTCAGAGAGGCTCAGATACTGTTGGGGTGAGGAAGATAGGGCCCGGGAAATAAACATTGACAGTTGGGATTCTCATACTTTTTTCATCCTTGCTTTATTTTATCCCTAGGGGGCAAATAGCTACGGGCAACTTGGCCTTGGCCATAAGGAAGACGTACTCTTGCCCCAACGGCTGAATGACTTCTGTAAACCTGTGTGTGTTAGGAGGATCACGGGAGGAGGGGGCCACTCTGCTGTTGTCACAGGTAACTTTCCTTCAAGAGTAAATAGCCCCTCATTTTCTTACTTAGACATTTCTCTCTAGGATGTCATATTGCCATCTTCCAGCCTTTTGTATTTTGCAGAGGAAGACATTTCTGTGAAAGAGCCATGTTATCACCAGAGAATCCTAGATTGTCAGAGCTGAAAGGATTTCGGAGCTCTTCTAGGCTCTCCTCAGGCCCTCACCCCCAGTCTGGTGACACAAGTGAGGCATGGAGTGGAAAACGAATTGCGTAAGGGTGCAAGACAAATTAGTGGCAGAGCTGCAATGCATATCACATTTGATACCATACGAGGTCTGTCCAGTCGGTATCCAGCCATGTAACATGGAAAATAGAGACATTTATTGAAGAAGATACAAGGTACAAGAAACATTGTACATAGAACAATGATGCCTCAGCCCCTTCGAAGTAGGCACCTTGGGATCTCACATAGTCCTCCCAGTCACCATCAGCTGCCCTGTCATGTTTTCCTGAATCTTACCAATGGTCTGAAATCTCTTCCTTTTCAAAGGTGATTTTAGTTTTAGGAAAAGCCAGAAGTTGAAGGGTGCCAAATCTAAACTGTAGGGTGGCTTAGTCACCTGGATGATTTGATGTGTTGCCAAAAAACTTTGCATGAGATGTGATGCATGAGCAGGTGCATTGTCCTGATGAAGCTGCCAATCACCAGTTGCCCACAGCTGCAGCCTTCTGAATCATCCACATAGTTTCTGTGGAGGAATTAATGCAAAATTCAATGCAGATTCGTTGCTGTACTCATTCAGTCATTTGAATGTGATGGCCACACAGTGTAGGTGCTCACTCAACGGCGTGCACTCCCTGCCCTCGCCCCCCACTGACCAGTACAGTGACGTCATCATTGTTCACACATGCACATTCCAGTCCACTCTCCGTGGCTGCCAGGTTGTATGGATGTTGCACAAACCATTCTCCTTATATTAACCATGGCTGGACTTTTTCCAGACAGACCTTAGATATTGCTATTTAACTTTAACATATTAATTAGAAGTCTTCAATTAGATTGAATATTCCTTGAGAGCTAGAGTTTTGTATTTTCCTAGCAATCCCTAGGATAGGACTTAACACATGTTACAAGTGCTACAGTATTGTGAAAGAGAGCATATTGCACCCTGGTTAAGAACGTTAATTCTGGAGTGAATCTGCCTGGGTTCCAGTCCTGGTTCTGTTATTTATTAGCTGTGTGACCTTGGGCAAGTTACTTCATTCCCCTGTGTCTGTTTCCCTTTGTTACATGGGGACAGTAACTGTGGATGAGAAGAATTCTTGGATTGGTGGCCACGTAATAACTCGTATGGGTCCTTGGCACTTTTCCCTTTGTAGACTCCTTTCTCCATAAAGAAGTATGAAAAATTGTACTTTATTAACTGCATTGATATAAAGATTAATCCAGGCTAGACTTAGTATTATATATTCATTATTATTACATTTCCTTTTCTTATTTTAAAAGAATTGAAAATGGAAACATTTCTGTGGGCCTCTAAAAGTACTGTGGGGCCCAGGCATGGCACGTAAGGAAAAGCTGGCCCCGCCCCCCACACTCTGGGGACAACACTTGGCACGGTCTGAGTACAGAGTAGGTGTTGGCTGCATTGTTACAGTGGGTGCCTGACTCGGCGATTGGCCGGCCACCACCATAGCACTTGCAGTTTCCATTTAGATATTAGACTTGAGCCCCTTGGCCCAAATGCCCTGGGGTTCAGTGCACATTAACATTCATGGCTTATAAAGGTGAGTGGGGAAAAAGTTGTTGGGTTTGTAACTCCAAATAAATAGTGAGATCCTTCTGCTTACTTTGGGAATTATAATTTCTCCTGCACAGTATCACCAAAGCCTTTGTATATTGCAGATGGAGGAAGTCTTTTCGTTTGTGGCCTGAACAAAGACGGGCAGTTGGGGCTTGGTCACACGGAGGATGTTCTGTGTTTTACACCCTGCAAATCCCTCCTTCGCTGTCCCATCCGACAGGTGGCCTGTGGCTGGGACTTTACCATTATTCTCACGGGTGAGTTCACTCCTAGGCCAGTCTTTATCCCCACAAAGGCTTTGAGTGGGAAGAGTATGGTAGTGGTGGTACTTGTTAAAACAGAGCCCCCGTATGTTTAAAAACACACACAGATGTTCTCTCTGGTTGTCAAGGAAAGTTGCGAGGTGTCTTCTGCAAGAAGTTTAAACAGTAAAACTTTGGGCTGGAGCCCTGACTAGCGTGGTTGGTTGGGTATAGTCCTGCAAAGCGAAAGGTTGCCAGTTGGATTCCCAGTCAGAGCACATGCCTGGGTAGTGGGTTTGGTTTGGTCCCTGGTTGGGGCATGTACAAGAGGCAACCGATTGATGTTGCTCACATTGATGTTTCTTGCCCTCTTTTTTCCCCTTCCTTCCCTTTTCTCTAAAAATAAATGACTAAAATCTTTAAAACTTTGGGCTAGAAAACTCTTGCCAGAGACTGGGGAATGAATTGAATTGTCTTTGTGGCCACTTCCAGTCCCAGAAGTTCATGGTAGCTGAGTGACTGGGTTTGCTGGCCCCAAGTGCCGTCTAAGGGTCACTCACAGGGGAGCGTGGCTGGGAGTGTGAGGAAATCAGAGGTTGACACAACAGTGATGGTAGTTTTTTCCCAATGAGGGATGTAACAAAAATACATAAAAGCGGTTGGACAGAACCGTTCCTTCTCTGCGAAGCCAGGTAGCAGAACAGGATGTAGAGGAGTGTGGGTAAAGGGTTAATAGGATACAGTTGGCCCTCTGTGTCTGCAGGTTTCACATCTGTGGATTCAACCAAGTGCTGATCAAAAACACTAGTACATACAGTCATTTCCAGCCACGGTTGGGAATTGGCAGCTGCAGAGGGCAAACTGTATGCTTTGTCCCACACTATTTTATATAAGGAACTTGAGCATCCTCAGGTTTCTGGAACTGACCCCTGGCAAATACTGAGGGACCACTGTAATGCTCTTGGGAATCAGACGATAGACCCTTTGTCAGCTCACTTCTCCCCAGAAGGAATTTTGCCCCATCTGGCTTGCCATTCTGGATTCAAAGGGCCATCTATGATTTCTGACTAAGGTCCCTCTTTGTCACAGCCCTCTGGCAAGGGCATCTTCTGACCATGTAACCCTGCCCATCCTCCAGCCCCACCTCAAAGCCCTGTGGATTCTCACATGCACAGCTCATCCCAAGTTTCTTAGCACATGGCCTTGAATGACTGTTCCCCACCTACTCCTGTTGTTGCCTTGGCTCTCCGTCTCCTCACTCCCTGTTCTTTTCTTTCTGGTAGTACCAAACAGTGTATGCTGTTCCCTGCCTGGAACAGCCCCTCTCTTATCTGTCTGGCAAACTCTTGTCCTGCCTTTAAAACCCTGCAAGGGTGTCACCATCTCTCTCTGGGAGGGGCCCTCTACTGTGTGCTGCATTTGGTAGTATTTATTAGGGTCTAAGTAATAGCTGTCACTTATGAAGTGCTCACTGTGGGCCAGTGTTGGGCTTGTAGGGAGTCAGTAGGCAGCATTGTTTCCTGTTCACGTTCAGAACTGGTTGTGAAAAAGGTGGAGAGCCGTCAGGTAGGCGGAGCGCACACTCCCGGCTTTTTACCGATAGAGGCTAAGTGGGAGGCCAGGGTTAATTGTCAAGCCAAGGGGTTCTGTTAACATTCCTCTGATCCAAACTCATCCCCTGAACTCTAGGCCTTCCCCACAGGGGAAATCCTTACTATGTGTCAGTCCAGAATGCCTGAGAGGAAGGGACCAAGCCACATGTGTCCTGTTCCTTCCTTGTCCCAAACTCACCCCCTGGTTAGCTTATCCCTCCTCTCCTAGAAAGCAGTGAGAATGGGAAGGGCAGGGAGAAGGGCCTGAAGTGTTAAATAATGGAAATTGTGTTACATGGAAACATGAAAAGTGGAGAACAAGCCTCCTCCTGTTCCAGCCCCGAGCACTGGGCTGGGTGATCCGCACAGCTCACCCGTCATGAGCTGGCGTGATGGACAGTCCGTGAAACAGCCCAGGGCCCAGTGTTTTCATCCCCAGGAAACACTGAAGGCAGGGAACGGGGTGCGAGTGTGCTAAAGCACGGGGCGCACGCTCCCTCCTCTCACTTCCGTCGCTCCTTCAGCATTTACCCACTGGTCACGGGTATCTTAGTACTTGGATTGTAATTTAAGCATTTGTATTTTGCAGAACATGGTCAAGTTCTATCATGTGGATCCAACTCCTTTGGCCAATTAGGGATTCCTCATGGGCCTCAAAGGTGCCTGGTTCCCCGGGCCATTGAGGTAAGGACAGCACCTAGAATTCATCTTCCCCTGTCCTGTTAAAGACTTTCCCGGGTATGACAGTTACTCCTCCCCAGACTGGCAGGGTCCCTGAAAGCCCAGGGGGTAGTTAAAATTTAACTTGAAAAACTTAGATTTTTTTTTTTCCAGAAAAAATTAGGTTGGGGGTGGGAATGAAGGTTGTTAGTGAAAAAAATCTCTGTTTAGTCCTCATACACCTTATACATTTTTCTGAAGTAGAACGATAAAGGTGACGTATCTTTTAAAGACATTAATGACTTTTCACAATTCTGAGACCAGTAATAATGGTCACCATGTTAGAAACAGGGCCAGACAGAAGGGACTCTGTCCCTGGGCAGACGGTATAAGCCAGTGTCATCTAACAGAAATAGAATGAGAGCCACGTATGTGATTTAAAGATTTCCAGTAGCACCGTTTACAAAAGCAAAGAGGAACAGGTGAGATTAATTTAAAAAATAACATCTATATTGAGATGTAAGGCACATACCATAATATCTACCTTTCAAAACCATGTAATTTAGTGGTTTTTAGTATGTTTACAGAGAAGGGCAGCCTTCACCATGGTCTGATTTGGAACATTTTCACCGCCAGGAAAGAAGCTGTGTACCCTGTAGCAGACGCTTCCTATTCTCCCCTCCCCAGGGCCCTCGGCAACCACCCATCTATCTCTATGCATTTGCCGATTCTGGGCATTTTATATGAGCGGAGTTACACAGCATGTGGTCTTCTGTCTGCCTTTTTCATTTCACCTGATGTTTTTAAGTTCCATCCATGTTGTGGCATGTAGATGAAATTTTAGTGAGTTTTAAATTGATCCAGTATATCCAAATTATTATTTCATTTTATATGCCATTAATATGTTAAATTCATTCATGAGATATTCTGTATTTTGTATTTTATGCTAAGCTGACCGCGGGTATACACTTTTTACTGACAGTGTGTCTCGGTTCCATCCACACTTCAGTTGTTAGGCAGCCAGTGTTCAGCAGTCACGTGTTCAGCAGTCACGTGTTCAGCAGTCACGTGTAGCCAGTGGCTACCGTGTTGGACAGCATGAGTGTACAACAGGACTCTCGGCCCTAGTTCCGGGCTCTTTCCACTGCATCATACTTCGAAGTGCACATTTTGGTGAAGTTTATATTGTCAGTGATCATAACAGGACTGAGGAATATTTTTAAAGGAATATGCTTGGATCAAAAATGAGTGTTACTACCTAAGCTGCTCCACTCTTATCTAATCTCCTAAAAGTCCACCTGGAGAGTGGGAGATCTGTTTTCACTGATGGAGCTTGGTCTGCTCTTATGATCCTGTTGAATTTACCGTTGCTGGTCTGTGGGGCTATTATTTGAGCTCATGGCTTCCACAGTGTTTTTGTCTGTTTGAGCTGCAATAACAGAAGTACCACAGCCTAGGTGGCTTAAATAACAAGCATTCATTGTTCACATTTCTGGAGGTTGGGAAGTACAAGATCAGGGAGCCGGCAGATTTGGTGTCTGGCGGGGGCTTGCTTTCTGGTTCACGGGTGGCCGCGTTCTTGCTGCGTGGCTTCATGGTGGGAGAGGCAAAGGCGCTCTCGGGGAGCTTTCTTAAAACAGCACTAACCCCATTCGTCGGTGTCTGCCCTCATGACCTGATCACCTCCTGAAGACCCCACCCCAAAGGCCGTCATGTGGGGTAATAGGTCATCGTAGACGAATTTCGGGAGAACACAAACATTTAGTCTGCACCACGTTATACAAGGAAGTCTAGATTCTGTAGTCTGTGTTGTAGGAAGTGTTACCACTTCTAATTCCATTAATGAATAGATGGCATTTATTTATGAATAAATAGATGGCTTTTAAGGAACCTGTATGTAAATTGTAATGAATTTCATTTCAGTCACACAACTGAGGAAGACAGAGGAGAGCAATGGTTAAAATACATCGGTTGACAGAACCAGGAGGTGAAGCGTTCTGACAGGCTCTACCCTATGGAACAATGGGAGGAAAGTGCCAAAGTAGAATGATATAGAAAGTCATTTATTAGTTTAATAGTATATGTGCTGTGTTGAGACCGTGGGGACAAAGGTGATAAGATCCGATCCTAGTGCGTGAGGGCATAGAAACATCTAAATGCGTTGCCGTGTTAGAACCATGGTGAGTGTTTGAACCATGGTGAGTGTTAGAACCATGGTGAGTGTTTGGATCGCCTCAAAGGAGGGAGTAGTGGACTCTTCCTGGGGCCGGGGGGGCTGGGGTGAGAACAGGCTGTGCTGACTCTTGGAAATTGAGTAGAAGTTTTCCTGGCTTGAGACAGGATGCGCAGAGTGGGTGCAGAAGAAGAGCATTGCAGACGAAGGAACCATGTAAGCACAGAACCGGAGGGGTCTCAAACCATGGAGGGTTTGAAATAGTGCAGGCAGTTTCGCTGGGCTGGAGTATCAGGAAGGGGTGGAAGTGCCGGTGGGAAGGGGCTGTGGGGGGAGGTAGCGTGTGACCAATGGTAAGAACAGTGTGGCAGGGAGGGGCCTGATGGGGTATTGCGGAGGACAGATTGAAGGAAGATTACTCAGGAAACTCTTGCTGATAATTGAGACAAGAGATGACCATGGTCCAAACCAAAGCAGTGGCAGTGGGACTGGAGGGGAAGGAATAGTGGTGAGTTGAAGATGCTGAAGAGATTGAATCCACATTAAAGCCTGTTAGTTAATTTTTAAAGAAAAAAAATTTTAGAGGACAATGTGTTCAAAGTATATTAGCAGTACAATTTTGTCTTTCGTAAAACTGATGTGATTGTAGGCTACATTAATGAAAATAGAATCTCTAGAAAAAGGGAGGCCAGAGCCCTGTTCTTTGTGCTAGTCAGCTGCATCCAGAGTCTTGGGTTCTCCCATCCAAGTACTAACCAGGCCCGACCCTGCTTAGCTTCTGAGATCGGGCGCGTTCAGGGTGGTATGGCTGTAGACCAGGGTCTTGTGTTCTGTTGTGGGTTTGGTGTGCAGGCCCTGGACATAAAGCTGAGTAAGACTCAGATGCTGTCCTGAGAGTCCTGGTTTAGAAAGACACAGTGGGTCTGTAAGTAAAGAAATGTAAAACACCATTGGGCCTGTGAGTGATGCATATACAGAACCTTTAGAAAAGAGAGACTGAGTAATCAGAGCTGATTGAGAGGAGCAGAACCAAGAGTGGGAGGGAGTTTCAAATTGGGTGATGGCTGACGGAATTGGGATGTTTAGTCTAAAAAAGAGAATTGTATTAGTTATCTAGTGCTTGAAATAAATTAGCTTCAAATTTAGCAGTTTAAAACAACAAACATTTGTTATCTCCTAGTTTCTGAGAGTCAGGAACCTGGGAACAGGTTAGAGGGTCTCTCATGAGGTTATGGTCCGGATGTCAGCCCGGGGCCCGCTGAAGGCAAGACTGGGCTGACCGGTCCAGTGCTACCTCTTTCGCCTGGTAGGAGGCCTCAGTTCCTTGCCACACGGGCTTCTCCCCACACGGGTTCTCTGTAGGACTGTTCAGACCTGGCCTCTGGCTTTCTTCCCCCTAGAGGCCAAACAAGAAGCCGCAGTCCCTTTTATCACCTCGTCTCGGAGCCCCTCATTGCCTCCTTATTCTGTTTCCTGGAAACAAGTCAGTAAGTCTAGCCTATACTCAGCCAGAGGGGAGTTAAACTGTGCACCTGGAGGGAAGGGGTCTCTAGGAATGTGAGGACCTATATTTAAAGCCACCACATGGCATGCCAGGACGTGACAACTGTCTTCACATACTTTTAAAAAAGATTTTATTTATTTTTAGACAGGGGAAGGGAGGAAGAGAGTTAAGAGAAACATCAATGTGTGGTTGCCCCACTGGGGACCTGGCCTGCAACCCAGGCATGTGCCCTGACTGGGGATGGAACTGGTGACCCTTTTGTTCGTAGCCCGCACTCAATCCACCGAGCTACACCAGCCAGGCTTGTCTTCACATATTTGAAAGCATTGTCAGAAGCTATAGGCAGAGAGGTTTGGCTTTTACCTAAGGAGATAAATGGAACAGGTACCTGGGGAGGCAGTGAGCCTGTGTCACCGGAAGCAGGTGTTTGGCAGGGGTTGATGGCCACTTGGTGGGGTGCTGTGGAGCGATTTCTAGTGTTGGTTGGGGATTGGACTAGATCAAACATCTGCAAACTAGAACCCTTGGTAAATAAAGTTTTACTGGACCACAGCCACACCCATTCATTCATGTATCGTCTCTGGCGGTTTTTATGTTACATTGGCAGAGTATAGTAGTGTGACCGAAACCACACGGCCTGCAGAGTCTAAAATATTTACTGTCTGTCTCATGATAGAAAACGCTCATCAGCCCTTGGACTGGGTGAACTTGCAGGTCTCCCCATCCCTGAGAGGCATTGTGATATGGTATTTTTAAGAGATTTTTGTCTTTTAGGGATGCATGTGGAGGTATTTATGAATGGGAATGTTGCTGGCTGGGAGCTCTAAACCAGTCAGACACATAAATGAGCGCCCTGCTGCAGTGCATTTGGGCAGCAATCACGTAACATTTTGTAGATGGATGACTCTGAGATTTCAATCCTTTTCTCTGTTTTGACAGCTCCTGCGAGAGAAGGTTGTTAGCATTGCTGCTGGACTGAGGCATGCCTTAGCCGCTACAGGTGATCATTTTGCTTTTATTTTTCTAATTAGTTGTGTGTGATAAGGAGAAACAGAGCTTTAGGAGAAATAAACTTCAAGGAGTAATTCAGAATGTCCTGCTCTGCTGCACTGCTGATTAAAAGGAGGGGACACAAGGCCAAAGGCATGTGGGAAAGCCTTCAGCAGGAAGGGAGGAAGGAAATGAAAATTTTCAGCTCTTCATTATGTTCTGGGCATGAGGCTGCATGTTCTTGATTTAGTCAGTACCTCATTTAATCCTCACAACCGTGCAGTGATGTGAGTTACATTTTCATATATGAAGAAAACGAGGTCTGGAGAAGCCAATGTGCTCATCTAAGCTTGCACAGGGAACAAGGAAGCAAAAGGTGGAGCTGGGGTCAGAGTCTAGGATGGTCTGGATTCCAAGGCCCACTTTCTTTGCTGTGACTGCACTAGTGGGATTTTAATGGTTACTGATTTAAAGGCTTCAAATGAGCTTGTCTCCTGGACCACGAGGGGGCAGTGGAGGTAGGGCTGACAATGCATGTGCAGTTGAGGATGATGAGTAGAGAGGGACAGTGGCTGGTGGAGGAGCAGTGACCCTTTTCTCTCTCCCTTGCTCATTTTTCTGCTCCCACTCCTGGGCTGAAGGACAGCCCTAACCAGCTGTGGCCGCTGAGGCTCAAGCATTTGGTGAGTCCAGTTGCAGAGTGGGGAGAGGAGAGGAGAGGAAGAGCGTGGTGCTGCGCTGTGCTGATGGGGGCTTAGTATTGACCATGGTTAAAAAAATGAACTTTGTTTGAGGGAGTTGTAGACTCACATGCAGGTGTAAGAAGTCAGATGGCGCTCGTGCACTCTTTCCCCGGCTTGTCCCAGTGGTAACCTCAGGGCAACAGCACAGCTGTCCTGGTATCACCGTCAAGACACAAAACAGTTCCATTGCCACAGGGAGCCACTTGCCACCCTTTATAGCCACAGTCACTTCTACCGGCCCCACTCCCTTCTTAGCTCCCGACAACTGCTCTCCTGTTCTCCATCTCTACGACACTGGCATTTCAAGAATGTTATATAAATGGTATCATAGAATATACAGCCTTTCGGGGTTGGTTTTTTTTTTTTTTTTTTTTTGCTCAGCATGATTCCCTGTAGATTCACCCAAATTTTGAGTATCAGTAATGTAGTCCTTTTTACTGATGTCATGGCATAGCGGTCCCACTGGGTTGGCTCAGGCTGCCATAACAAAATGCCACAGACTGTGGGGCTCAAACATCAGGAAGGTATTTCCTCATAGTGATGGAGACTAGAAGTCCAAGATCACGGTGCTATGAAAATTGGTTTCGGGGAGACCTCTCTTCCTGACTTGTAGATGGCTGCTTTCTCACTGCCCTCATGTGGCCTTTCCTTTACATACACAAGGGCAGAGACAGGCCTCTGGTTATTTCTCTTCTTATAAGGGCACCAGCTCTGTCAGGTTAAGGCCTCACTCCTGTGACCCATTTGATCTTTGTGGCCTCCTTATAGGCCCTGTCTCCAAATGCAGCCACCTCATGGGTTGGGGATTCAACGTGAGTTTTCGGGGGACATAATTCAGTCAGTAACAACCAGACTTTGCTTAGCCAGTCACCCATCAAAGAACATCTGCTTGTTTCCAGTTTTAGGCGATTAAGAATAAAGCTATAAACATTTGTGGACGAGTTTTTATGTGAACATAAATTTTCATTTCTCTGGGATAAATGCCCAGGAGTGTGATTGCCGAGTTGTATGGCAGTAATTACACTTTTACAAAGCTGCACAGTTTCCGTGATGTGTTTGATTAAGTTAATTGTTAAATCCTCCCCTCCCCCATTCATTTTGTAACTATTTCTGCACGCGTGTCTGAAAGATGGGGACTCTTTCTGAAAATATTACCAAAATAGCATCATCAGCCCTGCAAAAATAATTCTGTAATTCTATCAAACTGTATCCAATCAGCATTTACATTTCCCTGATTGTCTCAAAAAATATATATATTTTTTCATTTGTTTGAATCAAGGTCTGAATTAGGTGTGTACATTGCGATTGATATGTATTTCAGGTTTCTCTCTTTTAAAAGATATTTATGCCTTTAAAATTTTTTATTATGCTAAAATACATAACAAAATATACCATCTTAACCATTTTTTAAGTGCACAGCCGAGTGGTTTTAAGTGCGTTCGCATTATTGTGCAAGTGTTACCACCACATCTCCGGAGCTTTTTCCATCTTGCAAAACTGAAACTGTGCCCGCTAAGCCATTATTCCCATTTCCCTCTCGCCCAGGCCTGGCTACCACCACTCTGCTTTCTGCCTCCGTGACTCCGACTGCTCATACAGGCACCTCATGTAAACGGAATCGCACAGTACCAGTCTCTGTGTGGCTTCTCTCACTCAGCGTGATGTCCCTGACGTCTCTCTGTGTTGTAGCAGGTGTCTGAATTGCCTTCCTTTTTAAGGCTGAATGGTATCACTGTGTGTGTACCACATTCTCCTGTTCCCTTTCTCTGTGGATGGCCACCTGGGTTGCTTTCACCAAATAAGGCAGCTACGCACATGGTTATATAGTATCACTCGGAGACCCTGCTTTCAATTTTTTAGGATATGTACCCAGACATAGAAATGTCCAATCAATAGTAATTCTGTTTTTAATTTTTTGAGGAACTGCCATACTGTTTTCCATAATTGCTGTACCATTTTTGAAGAAAATTAATTTTTAATTACAGTTTATATTCAGTATGATTTTGTGTGAGTTTCAGGTGTGCAGCATAGTGGCGAGACAGTCACATAGACCTTCCCACCAACAGCGTACAAGGATTCCCAGATTCCTTTACAGCCTTACCAACACTGGTTATTTTCCGGTTTTGTTCCGGAAAGAAAGAGTGTACACCCTCGTGCATGTGAAGCGGATACATCATGGTGGTTTTGATTTGCATTTCCCTAATGATGACTGACATTGAGTATCTTTTCATGTGCTTATTGGCCATTTGTGGATTTTCTTTGGAAAATGTTTGTTCAAGTCCTTTACTCATTTTTAAATAAGGTCATTTGTTTTTGTGTGGAGTTTTAGGAGTTCTCGATGTATTCTGAATAGTAATCCTCTGTCAGATATATCAAGTTACTTTTAGTCTATAAATATAAATTCCTTTTCCTATCTTTTTTCCCCTTGCAATTGATTTGTTAAAAACATGTTAACTTTTGTTTTATTTCAACACCACGTTTTGCTTATACTGTGCTTGGTCATCATTACTTACATTTCACAGAGTAGGCTTGTCTGTTTACACCTTAAGGAACATAGGTCATAGGGTATTTCCAGAGGAACAACCTTGATGAAAGCAACCTTTCCAAAAGCAACCTTGATGTTGCTTTTGGGTGATGGATCCCAGGTACACACATCTGACTGTAGGCCAAATGTGTAAAATTTCATATGTGCATTTGTATGAGGTGCAGAACATGGGTACATGAGTTAGATTCAGCAGACAGGGAAATAAAAGCCCATCCCTCTGAAATAGTGGCTATTTATTAAGAAGCTGTCTTGCACTCATACATGTATTTAGCAGAGGAATCTTTGAATTCATCTTGGTGTAGTAGAAAGAGCACTACATTAGGTGTTAGGAGAGCTGAGTTCTAGCATTTTCTCTGCCACCAGCTCCTTATATGCCAGATCACACCCCCTCTTCAGGGTCTCAGTTTTCTCGTCTAGTAAATAAACGTCAGGAATGGACTTGATCATCTTCTAGGTTCTTTCCTGCTCCGTCTGGAGTCTGAGTGACCTTTTCAGGTCAGTCATGAACGAGGCGTCATCATCAGGAATTTGACTGTGTGGGATTGTCCTGGCACTTTTTGGGGGGAGTTTTACTATGTTGGAGTTTTCTCTGGTGGTCTAAGATTGCTGTAAAAATTGGATTTGTGATTGGCTTGGTGGTGAACCCTGTGACCAGTCACAGGGCCCTCGAATTGCGGAGCTTCTCCGTAATACAGGTGTTATTGGAGACTGAATTGGGAATCTCCCAGGGCAGTGAGGTTCAAAGACCCATCTGGTCTTATCCAAATACACATTTTCTTCTTTTTTCCTCCTGCTCGATCGGGAAGTGAGTGGCATCGTGTTCCAGTGGGGAACGGGTTTGGCATCTTCTGGACGGCGGTTGTGCCCTGGGCAGACTCTCCCACTGTTTTTGACAGCAAAGGAACCCAGCAGAGTGACAGGTAAGGCCCTTTATATAGTCCAGACTTTATAAGGCCCTGTGTGTGACCCTGATGGTTGTCTGTGATGAAATCTTTATAGCAAATCTCTAACTGCTCTCCTGGAGCTGAGAACAGAGGTGGGATTTTGGAGGGTGGTAGAAAGCGGTGGGAAAAAGAGAAGGGTAAGCCATAGTGGGAGCGATGTCCAAGACATTGGGATCATTCTGATTTTTCTAAGTCCTGCTAGCCCTCCCCTTCCTCTGGGCTGCAGGGTAGAGGTCATGGTCACCTGGTCTAGAGACATTCCGTCATTCTGTAACACTTTTTCCCCGACATGTCTGCTTAATTAACTAGTGTATTAATAAAATGCCCCTCAACCTTAAAGTATCCTGTGGAATGAGAAAGGGAAAAGGCAGGCGTTTCTGCCACATTCCCGAGAGAGAAAGCGCTGGGCCCCAGCAGCCAGGTGAGGAGGGACACCCAGGGTTCAGCTCCGGGACCTGGGGTGGCGAGGTGAGATGGCAGAACGAAAAATGAAAGACTTTGAGGGCAGGCAGTCGATGATCTGTTAGCTGTCCTGCAGTCCAGGGGTTGAGTCGGGGAGGGTATTTGTAGAGGGGGACGGGGCACTGGATGCGGGGCAGGAAGTCCACTTCATGTGACATTGAAAACACCTGTAACATTTTTTCCTGCCTCACCAAGATAGTCACTGCCCGCTGGGCGTACCCCGCTTTCTCATTCCTCTGTGCTTGTGGGCAAACTGTTATCTCTGCCTTTTCCTTCTTGTTCTCTGGGGAAAATCCTGATCATCTTTTAGGGCCTGGCTCAGGTGTGGCTTTCTCTGTGAACACTCTTCCCCTCTCTCGCTTCTGTTGCCTTTTCTCACACGTGTGAGCAGCACAGTATATCGTGTTGTTATGAGTTGTTTACACGTTTTCCCACATGCCAAAGATTCTGAGTTTTTTCAGGGCAGGAACTGTGTCTGTTTTCTATTTTAGCACAGAACTGTAACTAGAAGGAATTTAGAAGTGTTTTGATTTGATTTGATTTGAACAACCTGTTTGAGATCTGCTCAGGGCACAGCTTAGATTCAGAATTGAATTAGGGGAGTTTTCTGAGGAGACATTAGAATAGATCATCAACTGCCTGCCCTCAAAGTCTTTCATTTTTCGTTTTTATTTTTTAAATTTATTTAATTGTTGTTCAAGTACAGTTTTCTGTCTTTTACTCTCATCCCAGTCCACCCAAAGTCTTTCATTTTTCGTTCTGCCATCTCACCTCGCCACCCTAGGTCCCGGAGCTGAACCCTGGGCGTCCGTCCTCACCTGGCTGCTGGGGCCCAGCGCTTTCTCTCTCGGGAATGTGCCAGAAACACCTGCCTTTTCCCTTTCTCATTCCACAGGATACTTTAAGGTTGAGGGGCATTTTATTAATACACTAGTTAATTGAGCAGACCTGTCGGGAAAAAAGTGTTACAGAATGACGGAATTTCTCTAGACCAGGTGACCATGACCTCTACCCAAGCTGACTGGGATTATACCTTGTCAGTTAAGACAGTGTAATTAAGGGGAAAAGGTACTGGGTTTGGAGATGGAAGGCAGCTAGTTCTGCCTGTGTGTTGTTCGGGAGCCTGGGTGTGTATTTCAGTGTCTGCATGTTATAGCAGCTGAATGTATGAGATAATGTTTTTGTAGGCACTGTCTGTGGACAGAGCTAGGGAATATGCATATTTATATTCACACACACCTGTGTGTCTATCTGTCCTATGAGAAACCATGAGTCTACGCTGATTTCTCCAATTGCAATCCAATATCACATGGTCGATGCTAGCCTTCCTCTCCTCTCTGATAGTGAGCTCCTTTATCCTTGATGGATTTACTTGCTTGTTCATTCCCCTGGTAGGTAACCACATTACCCTCTTCTCTGTCCAGTTTGCTCTGGTATAAGTATAGTTCCTAAAGAATTTTTTCTTGTAGGCCTAGAGAATTCTAAAGCAATATGTGTTGCTGCTGGCTCCGCACACTCGGCTTCACTGACAGGTGGGTACCGGCTCTCAGGTTAACAGGCCACTGACAGTTCTGTGTCCCTTCTTCAGGCCGTGATGCAGGAGGCAGAGGGCAGGGCGCAGGCTTTGGAGGCAGAGTTTGCGTGTTGCCCCTGTGTGGTCTTAGACGACTACTCACTTTGCCCTCCCGAGACTGTTTCCTTGTCTGTAAAATACTTCGTGGGTAGTTCTAAGGACTAAATATGGCCATACATGTAAACACTCATGTGGGCTTACTTCCTCTTCTCTGATTTTGTTTTCTCAACTGCACAAGAGGGATGAGAATATCTCCTTCTCAGGGTAGTTGTGATTACCAAATCATGTAAGCAACAGTAACTTTATATGTAACATGTTGTTCTCATCCATTTAATCTGTGTAAGTGTCTAATGGAACTGTCTGAGCTCCCTAGCTCCCCTAGTTCTTTCGGTTTCGTCTCAAATTAACCTTTCTGATCCATTTATCTCCCTGTTTGCTCTGTCTATATTTACCTCCTCTATTTTATTTATGTAACTGTATATTTCTATTTCTATTGATCTTTCATCTTTGTATTTTTCTCTCTAATCTCTGTATCCATATATCTATCTAAATTGAATTATGTATGTTTTCCTATTGTATTTTGTATTTTTATTTATTTCTCTAGTCCATATCTTTGATCTGTTCTTTTATATAACCTTTTTTCTTTCTTGTACTCTATCTGCCTGGCTGTGCATCTACCCACACCCTTGACACACCAGCTACTACAGTATAAACTCTGGTGACAATGTGGCATTTTCTTGAAAGTGAAGGTTATCTCTTCCAAAGATTGTATCTCTCAGAGCCCAGATGGTTTGTCCCCCTGCCGGTAGGCTGGAGACTGTAGCTCTGGGAAATTTATTTTGGTTAAGACCTCACACAGATAAATACAAATTTCTTAAAACATTTTGTTTATTTAGAGAGAAGGGAGAGAGAAAGAGAGGGAGAGGAACATCTGTGTGGGAAAGAAACATCGATCACTTGCCTGTCATACCCACAACTCAGACGTGTGCCCTGTGCAGGGCTGGAATCAGTGACCTTTTACCTTGCGGAACTCTGCCCAACTCCGCCCACCCAACTGAGCCACACCAGTCCGGGCTGCATTGCATTTTAAGCAAAGGGCAATGACTTTCATGCGTAGTGTTTTATGTGGAAATTAAGGTGTATACATAGTACATGTAAACTAGTTCATATTAATTTTTCAACATCAAATTTGAAGTGCAGTCCAGCTGAATAGCTGTTATTGTTTCTAAATGAGTACAGAGACATAATGTAAGAGTTTAAATACTTTACAAACTGAGCTCCATATAATTTGTTATTTAGTGAATTTAAAACAGCCAACAAAAGAAATACCTACTTTTAGCCTAAATCTTGTGTTAGGTAGATTTATACATGTGTGTTGAGAGTTGAGTGGAAATCAATGCCTCTTACATAGGAAGGACTGGAGCCCCAGGTGAGGAATGACTAGTTCATGCCCCACAGTAGGTGAGGGTTGGGGAGGGCGTTATTTTCTGAGAATCATAGGAGGCTGAGATGTTTCTACTGTTTTAATTAATTTGAAATAGTTGGCATTATATAAACCTAGAGATTCTCTCATTGCTAACATCAGCTCCTTAAAAAATAAATTCCTCCCCGGCTGGTGTAGCTCAGTGGATTGAGCACGGGCCTGTGAACCAGACAATCGCGGTTCGATTCCCAGTCAGGGTACATGCCTGGGTTGCAGGTTGGTTCCCTGCAGGCCAGTTCCCAGCAGGGGACCCACGAAGGCAACCGTACATTGATGTTTCTCTCCTTCTCCCCTTCCCTTGTCCTCTAAAGATAAACAAATAAAATCTTAAAAAAAAATAAATTCCTTACTAATTACTAATGTAGTTAGTAAGGCTACTTATTTTACATGTGGAGCACTTTTATTTTGGTGTTTTCAAAACATGTTGAATTTTTATTTTATGGAGGTGTAATTCATATATAAAATTACAATCTAGTGATTTTCAGTATATTCACAAAGTGAGTTTTGGATATTTTTAATGTCAGTTAAAAGTTGTCAACATTAATATTCCCCTTTCCGCTCTAGTTTAAGCTGTTGACACACTGGGTCTTGTTCCTTGTGCTTTTTAGACCTTTCCCCTGGAGTTGTACGTTATGTAACTGTTCGGCACTGCAGCAGAATTTAATTTTGCAACAGTGTATGATCCGCATGTGGAAGGCAGTTCGTGTTTGCAAAAAGATGGTTTAGATTTACTAAGGTAAATTGAAGCTTATTACAGACACAGGCTCATGGTCAGTGGCATCTTGGTAGCTAACCAGGCCATGCAATGGGTTGAGACTTGGCTGAGGGTCTCTTCTGCCTTCTTGTACAGGATCCTCATATTTTGCACACCCTGGTGAAGTCCAGGAAGGATGCATGAAACACACCACAGAACTGCAGAATGTCAGTGCTGCAAGGTCACCCGGGTGACAAAAAAGCTCCACCTATTACGCTCCCTCAGTTTAGACTTGATGCAACGAGGCCCAGGATGTGAAGTGATGTGCCCAATGTCCGAGTGACAGAGCAGCAGATCTGGGACTTGAACCCTGTGTCTTGGTGATACCGTTCGGCATTTGATCAGTTTTTGACAATATACCAGACTGCTCCCAGGCAAGCAGTACCATAAAGCTTTATTGGGAGGTCACAAAGTACGGTGGAAATGGAAGACCCGGCTTCTTATCCTGCTTGATTCCTTATTAGCCATGTGATCTTAAAAGTAATTTAACATCTCCTGGCCTTGATTAATTGATATTCTAGAAGTGTGCTGTCTAGTAGAAATACAATGTGAGCTGCGTTTTGAAAAGTAAAAAGAAGCCCTGGATGGTGTAGCTCAGTGGATTGAGCATTGGCTGCGAGCCAAAAGGTTGCCGGTTCTATTCCCAGTCAGGGCACATGCCTGGGTTGTGGGCCAGGTCCCTAGTAGGGGCCACATGAGAGGCAACCACACGTTGATGTTTCTTTCCCTCCCTTCTCCTCTCTCTAAAAATAAATAAATAAAATCTTTAAAAATGCAAAAAGAAATAGGTGAAGTATTTTTAAAAATATATTTTTCTTAACCCCACATATCCCAAATATTATTTCAATTTCTAATCAATACGAATGTTATTAATGAGCTGTGGTTTATTTATTGATTGATTTTTAGTAAGGCTTTGCAATCCTTTGTGCTTCTTTGGTCTTATAACGCATTTTAGTTTGGACTAACCACATTTCCAGTCTTTAGTAGCCACATGTGAAGAAATTATAGAACCTTAGAATATTGGAGTTGGAAAAGTGCTTAGAGATCATTGAAGGAGCCACAAATTGCAGATTCATAGGCCCAGTTATGGCCCATGGCCCCGTTTTGTTTGGTTTCCAGTTAAGCTTTTTGGATCTGAATGCCTTTTAAAGAAGCATGTGCCCACTGGTTTGCCAGTTGCCCACCTGTCTCTTTCTTTACCAGTGTCATCAGTCATATTGTTTGCCCTTTTAAACTAGCCTCCAATTTTCAGCTGGTGAAACTAAGGCTTGGAGAGGAAGTGATTGTCCAAGGTCAATAGTTAGTTAGCAGATCCGAGAATAGAAGCCAGTCACTTGGCTCTGAATGTGCTGTTTCTGTTAAATTACAGTGCCAGTCAGTTGCATCCCTGCTTCTATCCCAGGATTATTGCGAGGTCCAAGTGAGCTGAAGTGCTGCACAGATGTGACGTGGCCGCGAGATAGTGTCTGCCGGGCAGGGCATGTAGCGAAATGTCACATGTAACAAGTTTAAGCTTCACGAGTGAACTGTGTCAGACAAAGACAAACACCGTAGGATTTCACTTACGTGTGGAATCTAAAACACAAAACAAACACACAAGACAGAAACAGACTCACAGAGAACAAACTGATGGTTGCCAGGTGGGCTGCGGTGGGGGGCTGGGTGGAAAGGTGAAGGGATTAAGAACACAAACCGGCAGTTACGAGCACAGTCACTGGCATGTGAAGTACGGCATCGGGAACGCAGTCAGTGACCTTGTAGTGACTGTGTGTGGTGTCAGGTGGGCGCTGGGCTCTCGGGGGATCACGTAGGAAGTTGTATACACGTCTGACCGCCGTGCCGGCACCCCCGGAACTCAACAAACGTTGAATGTCAACTGCAACTGAAAAAAAATTAAAACAAAAGTTTATGCTTGAATCATATATTTTTAACCTGTTACTTAAAAAAGTTAATATATTTTTCCTAACAGGAAGTAATGCAAGCATATATTTTATAAGCTATGGAATATAGAGAAAGGTATCTTTCACAAGGTAGATGTTGAATAAATATTTGTTGAATGAATTAGTGGAAAAACCAATTCACATATTCCTATTCCTTGACAAACTACTAAGAGTATTTGGCCCTGTTTCCTATTTATAGAACTAAAAAATCTAGTATTATGCTATATATGAATTTTGTGTCTTACCTTGCTCTACTCTGCACTATAGCATAAACACTTTCAGTAACCACTTGTTTTTCAGACTTGCGTTCTTTCCCATCATTCGGGACTAATGTTCCCTCACCTCTCTTGTTCCCCTTTCTGCTTGCTTAAGATGCTGGAGAGCTGTATGTTTGGGGAAGCAACAAGCATGGACAGCTGGCTTCCCAGGCTGCTTTCCTTCCTATGCCCCAGGAAATAGAAGCTCACTGTTTTCAGAGTGAAAAGGTCACCGCTGTCTGGAGTGGGTGGACACACCTGGTCGCCCAGACAGGTAAGGAAGCAGCGGAGAACTGGTCGGCGAGAGCAGCTGTGGGGGCAACTGTGTAAACAGCTATGGATGCTCGGGATGAAGTAGTTTGGATTCTACCAATGAGAAGTTTGTAGGGCTGGGAAGGGGAGTACCTCGGATCTGGTTCTGCAGGCGGCCAGATAGATGGCTTTTCCTCTCTGAATCACAGGTTTGCACCCGAAAAGGCAAGACTGGGTTAGGTTATTGCCTTCTGGTCCTAAGAGTCCACGAGGTTTCGAAAAGGAACCCGTTGCAGCAAGCCCCACCCAGAAATGTGTGCAGGCTGCCGGGGAGGCTGCCTGGTCGCAGCTGAAGAGATGACGCTGTTCGCATGTCCACCCGAGTCTAAATCAAAGGCAGCAGAAACTGTCACCTTAACGGTAAATACCGGGGTGGGCAAAAGTAGGTTTACAGTTGTGAGTATGCGCAACAGTTTATTTTGTATTATTATTTATTAACTATTGTATTTCCCATATGAACAAATGTAAGCCTACTTTTGCCAGCTGTTGTGTCTCATGACTGAGGCAGGAGCATCACCTTGAACCATAGCGGGCCTGGCGTTTTGGGTACAATGTTTGTTGACCCTAATGAGCCATGAACACCGACTCAGACACCCCGTCCGTCCCCTGAGTTGTCATCTTCTCCTGCCATGCCACCTGCTGTGTCTTTCCTTGAGTCCTCATTTATTTCTCACCCTTCCCTTGCAGCATTTCTTTCCTGGTCTTCATGTCCCTGACTTTGTTCTTGTGGTTTGTGTCTTCACCGTCTTTCTTTCCCGCCTTCCTAGTGCTCCTGCAGGCTCACCAAGCTTTCCAGGCAGGTAATTTGTGATTCTTAAGATCTGTAATCTTGTCAAGGCCTTCTGAACTCCAGGGCGTCTCTCACGAGTCCCTGTGCCTGCTCTTGGCCTGCTTAGTAGCCAAACCTGGCTTTCTGTGCTCCCAAATATCTGGTGGCTGTTATTCCAGTACTTTCTGGCTTTTGTAGGTTTTCAGGTCAGCTTCTCTTGTCCTTGGTAAGTCACGCCTACTACGCAGTGGAACACACAGACGTGGTCTTAGGAGTATTTGTAGTTACGATGCTTTTAATCGGTCTTTTAAAGCCATTCACAACCACTTTGGAACAGAGGCCTGTATTACAAAGGTGTTTAATAAACTTTTCATGTAAAAAAACTTCAGAGGCCGCTGTAAGGAACGTGTGTTAATTTATTGGGAGGACTCTCCAGAAGGTTCTGACTGCTGAAGGATGGGCAACGTCCACATAAGTTTTTCTTAAAAAAGACTCCCCGAGCACGCTCACTGCTTATTTGTGTAATTGTTCGTGCCTGTCTTTTCCTGTAGACAACGAGCTCTGTGAGAGAAGGCACCACATGATCTCTGCTGTGCAGCAGCGAAGGTATTCAGTTCCTGCACCCGACTGGATCTGGTTAAGAGACAAAACACATTTGCGTGCACAGGAAGTGGGGTAGATGGCTGGGATTTCTGACCTCTTTCCTCGGACTCACTAGTTCACGATCAGAAGGCCTCAGTTTGTCTCTTTTGGTTGGACTCAAAAGCCCAACCAAATCAGTCATTGTTTTTAGGAACCTATTCAGTAATAGCCTTATAAACCTTGGAGAAACTGGAGAGGAGACACGGGCCATGCTCTTCCACTAGGATGGGTAGACAAGCTTAAGTGTAAGAATGTAGAGAAGGAAGACTTGGCCATTCATCCGTCCATCCACCCATCATACATATGGAGGACTGTTTATATACCATCACTGCACTAGATATAAACCCTGCACTCAGGGAGCCCACTGTCCACCAGGGGGACACATCTGTTGTGAAAATTCAGTACATTGCAGTATGAGATGTGCAACAGTAGAGCTAATACAGCGTGCAGAAGCAGCATAGGAACTAGCAGTCATATGAGTAATTGGGTATTAACAGGTAGGTGTTTTATGGTTAGTCAGTCTTCAAAGAGTTGCAGTGCAGTGAAATACACTTACTACCAAATGGTAGTGAGTTTGGTTGAGTCTGCCAGCAAACCCTTTAACCAGTTTGACTAAATGAAAGACGTGAAGATGCCGCTTCTTCGATTCTGGCTTTGAAGCGTTGTAACTGATGCTGGTTTCCACCTCTGGGCCAGCAGCCCAGCCCTCGGGTGGGGGGTCGGAACCCACGCATGCCACACTGAGTCACCCCAGCTGCGCCGGAGCTCAGCTCCAGGTCTCCGCCTCCACTTGAGAGCGTGATTTTTTTGGTAATGTTTCAGCTGTTTAATTAACTTGTTAATTCAGATCGCTTGTTTATATACTTGTCACTTCCCCCTTTCTCCCAAGTTCATAATGGCTAGGAGCTGGGATGTTTGCGTGTCCTGGTTGCTGCGCTGAGTGCGGGTAAATGGGAGCGTGCTGCCCTTTCCCTTACCGGTGTTGCGCTCCATCTGGCAGCACTGGAAGCCTTTGACCGGGCTTGGTGTCATTGAGAAGGAACACCCAGGGCCTCCGGTTTAATCAGACTCAGCTGCTCACGTTAATGGGAACAAGATTTGCTCACAGGGTCAGATGCAGCTCATTAGTGGAACAAGGAGTTATTTGACTCCAGTAGTTTTCACAAGTGCTGGTGGTGAATTGTTCCCAGGACCTAACGGCAGGCCACGTTAGCACAGAGGCTGTTCCCAGTCTCCTTCGGGAAGGCCGGGTGTGATGCTGATTTAAAAAGAGTTTCTGCACTGTGACCATGTATCTGTCCAGTAAGATGGGGTGGGGTGGGATGGGTTAGGATGAGAGGAAGGGAATGGATTTTGCTTTCCTTTCTCCATAGGCCCTAGACCAGTGATTCTCAACCCTGGGGGACATTTGCAATCTCTGAAGACATATATTTGGTTGTCACAACTAGGGGGTGCTATTACCATCCAGTTGGTAGAGGCCAGGGTTGCTGCTAAACAATCCTACAATGCAAGGGCATCCCTCGCAACAAAGAAACGCCCAGCCTGAAATGAATGTTGTTAGTTGTGACAAGATTGAGAAACCCTGCCCAAGACTCCCACCCCCAGGGGTAGGTGTTCAGCTGGGTGGTTCACAGGGTATCGGGATAACCTGACGGTGTGTCTGTATAGGAATCTGGACCCGGTCTCTGCCCTTCCCTTTCAGGAGTCTGGTGCCTGCCTGCAGTGTTTGCGATGGAAAAATACTTTTCTCTGTTAGTCAGAGGCACTTGGAAAGAGTCCAGGCGAACCTGTTCTAATCTGGGAAAGTTGGCAAGGGTACCTGTATCTCAGTCTGGGGAAGCTGCATTCTAGAAACCTTTCTCAAGCTGCTTGATGTCCCTGATCATTGTTCTTGGGAACTTCATGGGACTCCTGGGTGACTTTATCCAGGCTCAGAGACCTGCAGCTGCCTTATCTGAGAGTCACGATTTCCTGGCCCAAGGTGCTTCTAGTGAGAGCTGGATGGCAGATCTGGGTGCCTTCCTAGCTTGGTGACGTTGGCTAAGTCACCTTACCTGTCGAGGCTTCAATTTCTTCATCTCTCAAGCAGGACATTCTAACCTGCATTCTACATAGCTCTGCAATGAGGTTCAACTGAATGAATCTGGGTGAAAGATCTCAACTATTTGTAAAATGCTATGTGCACACATAAGTGAGAGGTGCCTCAGGTTGGGATATGTGGGTATGTTAAGGAGTCAGCAGTTGCTTTTAGAAAGGCTTCTATTTCCACAAGGTCTGTGCAGAGCTTGAGGTACCAGCTTCTCCCCTGGGGGCTCATGAGCTGGCCGGGAATGTGATGCTCCATATCCAGCTCTGACAGGCAAAGCTTTCTAAAACCTTTCACTTACAAGCAGCAGGCAAGTGGCTCTTTGATTTTATCAACAGTTTGGAAGGGCTTTGTGGCCTTGTAGGTAATTTTCCTTGTTGAAGTCTCTGAGCACACTATTGTTCCTTCATGGTACCCATCCCACTGTGTAACTCTGTACATCGATTTGATTTCGTATTTGTTTAATGTCCAGCCTGTAAATTCTATGCCAGCATTGTCTGTTTTATTCATGGCTATATCCTCAGCATCTGGCCCAGGCCCGGCACTTAGCAGATGATCAGTAACTAGTTGCTGAATGAATGCATAAATGGCAGAGACACACGGGCTTTGAAGCCACACAGGCCTAAGTTGGAACCCCAGCTCCGTGTGGCTGTGGGCGGTACCCCCTCTGCCCGTCTCTGTCGCCACCCTAGCGCAAGCCGCTGCCGCCTCTTGCCTGGATCCTGCAGCGGCCCCTGACCGGTGTCCTCATCTTCCCACACCCACTTCCTCTCCCTTCCAGTCTGTCTTCTTATCTCACCTGGAATATCCTTTCCAGCCCATTGTGACACTCTCCAATAGCTTCCCATGGCTCCTGTGAGAAAAAGTCCTCGGTGCTCTGCCCTCTGCTGCCCCTTCCACCTCCAGGGCTTCCCGTGCTGACTCTTGACGCCAGCTGGTCTCCACTCCCGCCTTCCTCGCTCCCTCGAACACATCGTGTATTTCCCACTGCAGTGCCTTTGCACCTGCCATCTTCTCTGTTTGGCACATGTATCCCTGCACTCCTTCATTTTAACGTCATTACATCCTTTTTTTTTTTTTCCTTCGGGCTTCAGCCTGGTCGTCACCTCCTCAGGGAGGACTTTCCTTGGCAGGCTGACTAGTCACTTTTCCCTTTGATCTGTTCTCAGATCACTACACCCTGCCCTTTGTACTGTCTTTTTTCATATTCCATGACTAGTTCCCCCACCTCCTGAGGGCAGGGGCTGCCATGTTTGTTTTGCTCAGCCTTGTATTCTCAGTGCTCAGCGAAATAATTTGGCACATGCGAGGTAGGTGCGCAGTAAATGTTGGACAAATAAATAAACCTAACTTCTCTGAGCTTATTTTTTTCATTAGGAAAATGGAGTTTTGCCGACCTTGGCTGAGAACTAAATGAGATGCTTCCAGCACCCAGTGCAGGGACTGAGTTCCCCGCTGTGGGTTC